GGGAGAGAGAGAGAGGCAGAAGTGGAGGGGGGTTATCGCTGCCGCTAGTTCATAGTCACAAGGATGTTCACAGTCGGGGATTATCGCCGATTGCCTTCACCATTCTTCACCAACCATGAAGACCAGATTGTCCTCACCGTCATTCTTCACCGACCACGATGACGAACAGATTGGTTCACCGCCGTTCTTCACTGCTGTTCTGGAACGAGGACGTGATGTTCGTCGTCCCCGAGCTATTGGAAGAAGACCACGAGGTCTAGGTCGCAGACACCGTGAACCTGCTCTTTAGTCACCAACAACCTTCCCCCACTTGCGGCGACGACGAAACTGGTCTAGTCCACCTCGTTCAGAAACGGCGCCGATCCAGCTATTATCAAAGACCTATCTAATACCGACATCGACATTGGCGCAACGAACAACGAGATACCCCTGTTGGCCTCTGACCCTAACTTTAGGAAGGAGTGGATCTGTTGTTGGAATCTCATTGCCTGCTAAGAGGTCGAATTTCTCCCATCTGAAACTCGACCCTATTCCTAGATGGTGGAAAGGTGTACGTGAGGCTGGAGTTCAGTTAATGGAATCTCGGATTGTATTGAAACATTAACGACTCGTTACTTTAGGGGCAGAAAAAGTCAATTGTTCGAAAATTAAGGATACTCTAAACAATATATAAATAATATAAGTATATTTTGTCAATTAATTAAACTGTAAAGATAGTTTAAAAAAAATTCTATAATCCTTACAATCATTCACAACTTCGTAGGGATTCCTTGAGCTAAAACAATCCAGCGAATGCAAATTCAGAACGTGAACAAATGATATAAGCACCAATGATTGGATATAACATTTAATATAATCGAATGGAATGTAGTTGAGATAAGGCTTATACGATGATGGCGAAAAAACAAGGATTATGATAATTATGATTTGATAGCGGGTGAGTAGACTGATTTGGACAAGGTATGTCATATGGGCAGTTTAGAACCAATTGTACGATAGATCTAAGATCTGTGTGGATTCTCCATTTCTAAGGTTAATTCAAGAATTTGGATTTCGTCCTAACAAAATACCGTCCTTACACTCAAGGTTCTATATACTCATTAAGCATGTTCATGGGGTGGTCCATGTAAGAAGTCCGAACCACCTGCCAACATGATCCGACACCCCACATCTCTTATATAGCGGGTCTCATTTTTGTGGTGGTACCTGTCTATCCCAATTCCGAATTCCCATTACAAATGTAATGGGGGAATTCCCAATCCATAGTTAAAATTAGAGGTCTTCAGGGTTTGGTTTAGTGAGGTTTGAAGAAGATCTCAGATTAAACTAGTGAAATATAGTTTGAGAGATTTTTAAATCTAATCAAATCGTTTTGGTATAACCAAACTAAATCAAATCAAATTGTTTTAATTCATTTTGGTGCGATTTCTAATATGGTTTAGGGACTTTGGATTATTTTATAATTTTTTTAGATTTAATCCAATTAGAAAGCTCAAATAACTCCCTAAAAAATTAAAATTTGAAATTTTTATTTATTATTTTATTATAAAATAAAAAAGTTCATTATATATTTATAATTTTATGCATTCTATTTAGATATATTATATATCATATATTCATATAAAATTTTAGTTTATGATTTAATTAGGTTTATAAAATTTAATAAATCAAACCAAAACTATAAACTGCAATTTAAAAAATTCTCAAACCGAACTAAATCGTTTAATAATATAAACCAAACCATAAATCCAATTTGAATCGATTTATTTTTGCGATTTAAACCGTATAATGAACACCGCTAGTTGAAATCCCAATTCAAGTTTTGAGGTGATATTTTAGCTGATTAAAGAATTATTGACACGAAATCGATTTTTGCAATTATGGGGAAAAGGGAGGTTATCATATCAATGGTAGGTGGCACCAAATACCAAAAACAAAAAAAGCTTGAAGCTGATACAATGTTCAATGGTCGCACGTGCTACAAATTACATACCAGCAGCGGGCCAACTGTAGAGATGTGGTGGATACAGTGAATCGGTGCCGCGCTATTGGTGAACACGATTACATGAACTTACCAACTACCGACCAGCTGGCCAGCGGCCGTGTGCATTGTATCTCACAAGTCACCCTCACCGCTAAAACTTGAAGTTGTGTTTGATTTGAAGGATGGTTTTCAAAATCAAATCGGAACGGTCAGATCGGAAAAACTGGAAGCGGTTACCTGTTTGGTTCCGTTTTTCCTTAAAATCATTGATTTTGGTTGATAAATCGTTGAATCGGCTGGTTAATTGTTTGAACTGTTTTAACGGTTTTTACGTTTTTTAATTTTTTATTTTTATCAAAACGGGCCGATCATTCGGGTCGACCCCGGTAACCAAACTCCTGACCGATTCGGTCACCAAGTCAGTTTTAAAAATCATGATTTAAAAGAAAAAAATAGAGAAAAAAGGGAAAGTTAAGAAAATCTTTACAAACCTTATATAGATTTTTGTACCTTTCCCTTCTTTTTTCTACCTTTTCCTTCAAAACAAACATAGCCTAAAAGTTCCACATTTATTATTTATTTAAAATTACGATATTACCTTCTAATTTTATTACTTTATTATTAATAGAAAAATTACATATAGCAACTTATAGCCCCTCATAACCTTGTAGTGTAGGAGTCAACTTTGTTAGTGGTAAATTAAACAATTAGAAATGGCAAATCCTCCTAGCATATAAAAACCCCCTTGTATATATCTCAAAACTTATAGTGGGATAGATTTTGAGAATTTAGAGCCTAAACCCTTCTAGCATATAAAAAATGCAAAACACTCCCCGATGCTATCCTTTTCACATTCAAGTAGGGTAGGTTGGGCTTAAAACATACATTTAATTTCTTATTATATATAAATAAAAAATAAATAAAATAACACAACAATCAAGAAAAAATTTAATAATTTGATTAAAACATATATATTATCAATTATCTTTTATATAACATTTAAAATATTATTAAATTTAACACTAATGCATAAATTTTATATGGTTTTCAACAAATATGAGCTGAGAAGAAGGTTGAATTTAGGCATTTAACATAATACCATATCCTACGCAAACATGTTCCGGTTTTAGAATCTCAAAACCCACAATGGTGCAAAAATTTCCATCCCTAATAAAAAAACTGGCAACCAAAAGTTAGGAGGTCCTTGTCGTAAATAATAGTTGAAGGGGATTATGTATCATTAACCCCTTCCTAAAAGTAGGGTAGTTTTACCAATTGATGGTGACTGAATTGATAGAAATCTATGACTCAGTCATATGAGAAAAAATGGAATTAAATTCACTGCTATCAAGGTTTTTTCTTTTTTGGTATTTGATTACTCACCTTTGCCCTGTAGGGCTATAATTCAAATTCTCATGTCATAATACAGCACTTTTAACCATATTAATAAATCTTCTCGACAGCGGGACTCAAATTTGCATTCAATTTGAGGTACCCAGTTTACATGCCAACCGAGCCAGCACTCAGTTGGCACTGCCATCAGGTCGAAAATGTATTGGATAGCACCCTGTAATTTATCTTAAAAAATCTTTATGTATTTATATATGAAATTATATTTTATTGACAAAAATCTGAAATATTTACCACTAATTTACACGTGGAAACAAATGGAGCCACAAAAATGGAGGATACGGATGTGCTCGAGAGTATAGTGTATTCTTTTAAATTTTAATTACTATAGAGAGAAAAGGAAAGGAAAGAAAAGAGGAAAGTTGCAAACTTGTTTTTGATGCGACAACGGCGTCTTCGTCTTTGGTAATCTTATATGAACAAAATTGAACTTTATGGCCTATATACAAATCCCAAAGAACAGAGCAGAGGAAAAGATGATGAAGGCATGAAGAGAGAGGGCGAGGAAAAGAACGTACCAGATAAATCTGGTGTCCCCTCTCATGATCTGATCTGATGCCTCAGAAATCATAATCAATGTCTGTCATGTTATGCGACACAGACTTCTTAACAAGTTGGCCATGCTCGTCAAAGAGATCCAGGTTCTCGCATGGAGCGGGGAAGATGGTCCCTATCACACGACCCTCAACGAATGCGCACTGGAAGATATGCTTCTTTTTGTATGTAATCCCCACTGACATGTCCCTGAACGTTACATTCCGCACCGGGATCTCATCGCTGCCATGCATTCTTACCGGCACACGGACTCCCTGGCCATGAATCCCGGTGAAGCTTATGTCCTGCAGTATTGGTAGTGCCTTAGGGTCATACTCCCCGTCAGGGTGCTCGTTGTAGTCTGTTTTCACGACGATCCCCACCCGGACATCGTCGAATGTCAGATTACGGTAGTTTATGTCACGAACATATCCACCTCTCCCAGGGCTGGTTTTGATCCGGATAGCCCTTCTCGAGTTCCACACGTAGATGTTCTCCACTGTAACATTCGATACTCCTCCTGACATCTCACTGCCTATCGATACTCCAGCACTGTAGGTCAAAGACCAGAACAGACTCATTCTTCTTAAGTCTTGACTGATCGAACATGTATGTGGAAGAATTAATTCAGAATTCTCACCTGACCATTGATCGAACAACAAGGTTTCGGATAAGAATGTTGCGGGATGGCCGGCCGTACTTAATTCCGTATTGATCCCACCCACTCTTTATTGCAATCGCATCATCTCCCACGCTTATGTAGGAGTCCTCTATCACAACATTCTCACACGAATCTGTGTAAAGTGTAAACCAAAATAGGTGTTCATTTCATTCCCTCCGCCTCACAAATTCTGCATTCCATAGTGGTCAAATGGGTGACGGTATCTGCTCCTCACAAATGGGCGCCTCACTGATACATCCACCGTGCATTGAGAACATCTCCCGTGAATAATAATTAATAAGTACGGGAGATGTTCTCAAAGCATGATTGAATGTGTGTGTGAGGTGCGAGGTGTGAGGAATTTTCGATTTGGATAGGGGTGCTAATCGACTGAATCCGTATCTTTCTCGGATTTGGATAACCCTCTATTGAATTTTCTATTGGATCGGATTCATTCAAATCACCCCTATTCGATTCAAATCTTTATTTACATTTATATATATTGTATTTTTTGTAATTTTTTATAAAAAGGCATGTATGTATTAATATATATATATATATATATATATATATATGATGAAAATAGTTGAAAAAATACTTATACTTTTTGTTTTTCTTTATACGAATAATAGCATATAAGAACAACTTTTGGGCCCTAATATCAATTAAGGCCAAAAATACTATTCATCATCTTCTTCTTGCAATGTATTCACTAGTGCCGCCGCCCACCGTCGCCTTTGTCTCCACCCACCTCTGGCAATGTTGTTAGAGGCAGAGGCGAAGATGGGCAAAAGTTAGGAATGGCAACGGGGCGGGTTCGGGGGAGGGACTACGTTCCCCATCCTCGACCCCAATCCCCAAATCATCCCCCATCCCTGTCCCCGATCCCCGATGGGGAAAAGAATCCCCTCCATCCCCGACTCAAACAAGGAATTCATCCACGTTGGAGACCCGAATCCCTGATGAACTGGAGACTGAGTTTGAGTCTCTTAGAAACTGAGAATGAGAGAGAGAGAGGACTGTTGCGAGAGCTGAGGTCGACGATGAGAGAGAATCTGAAGGGCGAGGCGAGGATGACGGTTGTCGGCGATGATGAAAAGGTTGAAGAAAGATTAAAGAACCGAAACTCTTCTTTGAGTATCTCTTCTTTGTCCTTTGTCGAGACTCGAGTAACCCTGTCCTCTATCCGATGTCCGACAGTGACGGGCGAGTGGCGATAGTTAGCGATGGCGGTTAGCATTCGACGAATCTGTGACAAAGACGAATTGACGAAGGAAGAGAAACCTAGGGTTCTATCGAAGACGAAGACGAAGACAAACTAGCAAGCCTTTTACTGTTTAAGTGTTTTTTAAGTTTTAATCTTTTAAAAAATGAATAATAATTATTATAGTATATAATATAATATATTATATTATATAGTATATAATTATATATATTAATCAGGGACGAGTCGGGGCGGGGATTGCATTTCCCATCCTCGTCCCCATCCCCAACCTGATGGGGTCGGGGAGCCAGGGAAAATTGCCATCCCAAGCAAAGGTGGCGGCGTTGGCCAGACCACCAGCGCCGCCGCCGCCACCTTTGCCTCCGGCCACCTCCGACAACATTCCCAAAGGCATAGGCGGCGGTGGGCAGCAGAGGACAGCGGCAGCGGACGGCGGCACTGGTGAACAAATTGCAAGAAGAAGAAGATGAATAGTATTCATGCTCTTAATTGATAATATTTTTTAAAAGTTAACCTATTTTTAAAAATTTTTAAAAAATATTAGTTTTATTACTATTAGGGCCCAAAAAGTTGCCCTTATATGCTATTAACCCTTCTTTATATAAACTTTTATATTTCTTAATAATTATTATTTTTTTATAATTCAAATAAGATCGAATCTGATTCAGATATCCGACATCCTTAACAGGTTCATATCCGATCGAATCTTCATATTGAATCGTATCTCAGATATATAAGATCATATCAAATTTAAATATATGCTAATTGGAATCCGATCTAATCCGTTTAAATACCGAAGTAAATAGCATGAAAAAGAAATAGAATGCTTACCAGGATCTATACCATCAGTATTTGGGGCCTCGAAGATGGGGGCCAAGATGGTAACGTTTTTTATAGTTACATTCTGACAGTCGAAGGGATGGAGTGTCCAGAAAGGAGAATCACGCAAAGTAATGTTGGAGATGTGGATGTCCTTTGACCACATGATCTGTACAAGTGGTCCTCTGGTGTGGTTGAGAAGCTTTCTCCGGAATTTCACCCACCACGTCTGACCTTGTCCATTTATGGTGCCATTGTGCCCTGTTGTGAACACACATCAAACCGGTCTGCAGTTAACCTTTATTTGTACCAACATAAGTGCTAAGTGCTAACAACCTCCAATCATCATCATCTTAAAAAAGGAGATTGAAAAGTTCATTAATAACCAAACAAATAAGAGATAGCTTTCCCCATACCCACCCTCGACAAGGTAAACGACATACTCCCACCAAAGCAAAGAGCGACTTGACTTCCACCTCACCCCAACTGCACCACTCTTTTCCCTCCCTTCCCCCTCCTTCAGCTCTTTCCCTTATTGTACTAGTTATTAGCATGGTTCAAAGTATCGATACCATATGCCCGATATAGGGCATGTCGTTCCGAAACATTCTCCAATTTTTTTAATAATAAAAAATATCTTATAAGTTTCCCAAAAAACTAAATTAAAAAAAAAGTATGTATCTGCAGTTTCTAAGTACTGACACGGTATGATCAAAACTCGTATCGTACCGATACTTTGAACCTTGGTTATTAGTATTTTTACAATTTTTTCTCATAGTTTTTTCACGCTTAGGTGGTGTTTGATTTTATGACCATTTATTTAAAAAATGGTACTAGTTCATTGCCATATCAGTATTTATTCCAAATATTATTTGGCAAGAAATTTATTAGATAAATGTTTGTATTAGTTTATGTGAGAACCAATTATCAAAAGACACATCATTTTTAATGTTTCTCACAATACCCAGCAGTTTATTATTATTCAACTTATGTTGTAACTAATGTGTCTAATGGCACCTAGTTGTAAAACAACAGCAATAAACGTTGAACTTCATTTTTCAAGACAAATCCCACGCAAAACTTTTCTTCAATAAATGGCTACTTTACCAAACAACCTCTTAGAATCTTCCAATTTTTCCCATTGAATTATTCGTTGTGAGGTTTATACACAAAAATGTTCCCTACCACTTGCCAAACATAAACAAACCCAAGAACCCCAAAGGATTTGGGGGTGATGACCCAGGCAACAAGTCAAAGTAATAATAATAATAATAATAAAGGTTTAAAAAACTGACTTGGAAACGGAACCGTTCTGGCCACCGGTTTCCGAATTAGCGGTTCGCTCGTCTGGGTCAAATGGTTTGAATGGTTTGAACATTTTACCCATTATATTGGAATATTAGGGTAAGATGCATATAATTATAACTATATATGAGAAAATAAGGTTTGAATGAGAGAAATTTGAGAAAACTGTCGGCTAAAAGAGTTTGAAAGAAGAAGAGGAGGAGGACTTGCAGGTTGCAACGACAAAGATGACGGCAACTTATAGTGGCAACAGTGATAGCGACGGCGATGGTGGCAAACTAGCGATGAAAATAGATTTGAGATTTCTTAGTCTTAAATCTCACTCTCTCTCGTTGTCTCACACATCTCAAATCTCTCACCATTTCACGCGAGAGAGACAGATCTAAGATTTCTTAGTTTTTAAAACTTTGCTGCAAACCGTTCTCTGGGTCGAACAGTTCAATGGTCAAGGTTTGGGGTAAAAGGTCAACTGAATAGTTTCCAGTCCGAATGGTCTAACCATCTGGGTCACCGACGGTTTGAAAACATTGATAATAATAATAATAATAATAATAAACATTTTCGGAAACTCACCCAGCACCCATGCTCATCAAGGCAAACACCTACTACCACCAAAGAACATCCCCAGTGAGCATTGTACCCCTCATCCTCTAAGCCATTGATTACACCTCCATCCTTCACGCTTTCTCCCTCTCTCTTACCCTTGATGCATTGGAGCTTACTCTTGCTGCTTTTCTTCTGGTAGAGTGGTAGTTATTTTACTTCAGACTCCGCCAAATTTTCTCATTCAAATCTTTAGTCCGGGGAAATATCCTCCGTACTTGGCTACTTTTCAACACCATCTCTGCCATGTTCGACTCTTCCCAGTCCTTTTCTTCCTACCTCAATGAAGCTTCCAATAACTCCTTCATTACCTTCAATAAGGAAAACCTAAGCATCTCGCTTAAGTCCATCATTCCATCACTAAAATTAAAAAATAGCAGAGCCAGAATTACACTACCACGAGAAGGTCCAAAACCAAACCCAGGAAATCTGTTGTGAGAACTGAGAACATTCAATTAATTTCATCATCTACTTAATGATAAAAAATGGGGGAAAGAAAACTCAAGATTGGATGACCTGCAAATTTACTCTGAAATTTATGTTAAAGACCCAAAAGCTTAGAAAAGTCATCCATCCAATAATTAATGCCAAGATAGTAAACCAACTCCACACTTCAAAGTATAGATTTCATGCAAGTCCAAGGCTTCAAGAAAAAACAATGAAGGAATTGATACAAGTCAAGGAGTACCATATCTGACCTGTTATAACAACATCCTGGAGATGTTGACCATGGATAAGACTACCATATCGGGGTCCAGGATGCTCCCTTCCGTTTCCATATGATGGCACCGGGGGCATCAGTGGCCAATACTTCTCATCCTGTAAACGTCGTGTTAATAGAATTAATGATTCCTGAATAAACAATAATATGGTATACTTAAAGACTTGGAGTCCAAGACATCACAATCTTTCTTTCATATTACTACAATCCACCCGACCAAAACCAACTAATTTAAGCTGTGAAATGAATATGACAAGCAGGATTCTAGGCCTCATAGGGGGGGGGGGGGGGGGGGGGGGGGGGGGTTGGAGAGCGTTTGGCTATGAATATCCTGGCTTATCTTATTTTGTAGCAGGATTTTCACAAACCCAACTTATTGATTTCCACAAAAAAATATATATATATATACATTACAGGGAAGCTCTTGTTCTTTTTTCTTTTTCGTTGTAAATCTGGTTTATGCCTCAATGTCAATGGTAAATTTTTCCAAAACTCCAACGTTTTATTTATATTACAGAGGAGAACAGAACAGAATATATAGAGAATATTGCATACCTCTAATTTCAGTCCGAAATAGAGATGAAACAAGAAACTTTAAGCGATTTCAGTTCTCAAAAATTCAACGGATATGAAAAAGAAGACAAGGGAAAAGAAATAGGAAGTACTCACCTGAATTCCAAGTATAACAGCATCTTCAGCGAGAAACAGAGTCAAGTGACTAGTGAGATTGAAAGGCGCCGTGAGCCAACGTCCGGCCGGCACGTTAAGCTGTCCACCACCTCTGTTTGCATATTTTGTAATCGCGGCGATAGCCCTCTCGAAGGCCTCCGTGTTCAGAGTCACACCATCCCCAACACCACCGAAATCCGTCAGGTTGAATGCAACCGGCCGCATCTGAGGTAGTGGCCCGACCGAGGTGCGTCCAAAGATCCGGAACCCATCAATGGCATACCGTTGCCACAAAAATACTGTGCCAACGCCAACAATCCATAGAATCGCAATCCATAGCTTGAAGTCGAGTTTCTGGTGGTTAAACCGCCCAAATGTGAAGCTTTCTACCATGATCAGATACAACTATATCTTGTATCAAACCGTCAGAGTTGGAAGAGAAACAACTGAAAAACTGCTCTTTTTATGGCAGTTTTTTGATCTTTTTCTTAATGTAACCAAGGCATCTTAACGAGGGAGAAACGAATCTGAAGCAACTACAGGTAAGAAATTAGATGGTTACGTAGTTTGAAAATTAATAACCAAGAAAGAAATCTGGGCTTCGGAGGCTTGGAATTCCGGCCACTTTTAAGGGTTATAAGGTCGGAGTTCTGTCTGCATCAAGACTGCTTCAACGAGATGGAGTACAATGGAAGGGAAGATGCATTCACGAAAATAATAGGATTGGAATTGGAAGTAGATAGATAAGTGGAGAAAAAACTATCTTCTTTTAGAAGTTATCAGATACCATCATACGAAGAAGAACTGAAGAAGAATAGTCCTACGGAACTGCCCTTTCCTACTTGCTGTGAGTACCGGCTCGCCCTACAGACGTGGTTGGACCAATGAGCCATGAGTGGGTTATAAAAATGAAGCATCAAACTGTGGAAGAACCCCCATAAATTCCAGTTCCAGACTTCCAGTAATCCAGTTCCGTATTCATCCTAATCCAGCTAACCCCCATCAACCAAACCATGTTATTGTCTGAACCTTTGGAAGATTCAAAATGCAAACCAAACGTTACTTTCGTAGGTCGTTTGACTCTCAAATCTCAAGTAGTAATAAACATTTCATTTCAGGTAGCAGTCCAAAACCTCCTTATAGTTAGGGCATTGATTAATTGTTAGGTGAACGGTTCAACCTTACCCACCTCTGGTGGTGATGGGTGTAGGCCAGTATATGCACCTGCTCCAGCAATCCAACTAAGATACTGCCTCTTTCCTTGCATCTGAAGCACCTAGCCACCAACCTTTGTATTCAGTCAGCAATTGATTTCACCACAGCCCATCTCTTCTCTCTCTCTCCTAATCCAGCCAAGCCCAGAATTTTTTTGAGCTAGGGCCAAAGTTTTGTGTGACAGACCAGGCCATCAAATATGATACCCGAAAAAACAGTATTCAGGGTTTTGATTATCTTTCCAGCAGCGTAGATTTTACCAATAAAATATTATCAACCTATTAGGTTTTTAGTATATACTATATAGTAATTTCTTTTTCAATCCAAATATTTTAATCCTTAAATCTATTCTTCTTTAATTGCAAAAGTGGTTGCCCAAATATTTTAATTTCTAAATCTAGTCGTATAGAAGCTCAATAAAAGATCTAAATGTCTTTTAGTCTTTTTACCCTTTTATTCACAATATAATGTATTTGGAGGATAATTTTATGATGCCAAAAAGACATGATACCGGTTTGGTTACTACTTTTATGAATACCGGTTGATTGATTATTATTTCCGGCATTAGAATTGAACCCGTATTCAAAAACCAAAGACTTGGAACAAAGTTCGGCCTTGCCCCAAGCTTATATTTCAGGCTCGGGTAGGGCTGTTCATGGGTCGGTTTAGATTGGTTTATTGAGGTTTTTTTAATCGATCCGATTTAGTCGGGTTATCTGAGATAGAAAGTTAGAAACAGAAACCGAGTCAGGTTGGGTCGGTTTCGGTTCTAAGTTCATCCATGTCCCCCATGGCTCATGTGCTTGAAATTTGTATATTTCAATAAACTTTATAAGTTTTAATCTAAGTAAAAAAGGACACCTAATTCTAATTGTAATTGCCTAACCGGTTGCCTATTTAGTGTAAAAAACTATAGAAACTAGGATAATTTGATTCTTTTCTTTAAACTTTTCCAAAAAAATTCCTTGCCTAGTTGTCTTACAATACTTGCCATTAATGTTATTCCTAAGTAGAAGACTAGGTTAGGTTGTAATTAGGAATTAGGATAGAGACAAATTAGTTAAGTAGGAACTAAGTCGGTTCGGTTTGGGTCGGTTTCGGTTTTCACATAAGAAAACCAAAAGCGACCCAAACCATCGGTTTATGAATTTGTACAACCCGAAACTGACCGGTGCTGATGAAAACCCGGCCAACTCAGGTTGGGTCAGTCCAAATTGATCGGTTTTGTCGAGTTGGGCCTTCTTATGAACAGCCCTAAGCTCGGGGTCGTGATTGGAATAAACCAGGGCTTGAATTAAAGCATAGGTGCTAAGCTTGACTCATGATCACTCTGATTTACAGGTGCTATTCAGGTTGGCTTAAGTTAGCGGTTTGTGTTTAGGTTAGGCCAATTCAAAATTTGGCAAAAGCCCAATTCAAGCCCACCCAAGTGAAACCCCTAATGGGGGGTGATCATGGGTAGGGCTAGGCTAGGATGGACCTGAGGTAGTGCCTACATCTTAATATATATAAAATATGCATATAAAATTATTTTATATATTATATAATAAAAATATTACATATAATATATTATATGTCATTTATAATATAACATAATATAACATATATTTATATATATTTATATATATATATATATATATGTATACAATATGTATAAAATACATATATTTAAATATATATGGATTAAGCCATGCTTATAGTTTTAGGTCCAAACCTGGCCCGGAAATTTTACGGGCCTGAACACAAAATATAGGCCCAAGCCCAGAATTTTCGGGCTGGATGAAAAGATCACCCCTAACCCCTACCCTACTCCCTCCACCCCATGCACATTGTACCTCCCCATTAACTTTTTCACCCCTTAATACGTTAAGTTCTTATTCCATCCTTTCTTTAGTTTTATTTCACAATCCTTTAGGCTATGTTTAGTTTGAAGGAAAGGGTAGGGAAAGGTAGGAAATCCTATACAGGATATGTAAAGTTTTTCGTACTTTTCCTTTTCTTTTCCTATTTTTTTTCTTCAAACCAAACATAGCCTTAGTAATATAGTGAACCATACACCATACAACCCAATAAACCGATTAGTGGCAAAAAATACTCATATAACATCCAAAACTTTTCAAAAAGTGCCATTGTACTTCTTCAAGTCATTGGTTGAAAACAGGTTCAACCCGAGTCCGGATTAGGTAGACACGTCATTGTAAGAACATTAAATAAACACATTGTCCCTTGAAATACCTCTAATCTACCCTTAAAAAAAATTAAAAACAACTTTTAACAACTGTAAGAATATTTATAAAGTACTCACTGAATGTACTTCCTATATTATGGCTAGTGGATCTGATCTAATACCTTGTAGTTTTTTTGGTCGAAGGGGGGGTGAAAGTTATTACAAGTTATTTATCGTTTCACTTGTTTCCCTTTTGTTTGTGTGTGATTACCATTGCTACTATTATTTATGCTTTTCATTTGCTTCTTGTTCCTGTTGTTTTGATAAGTAGATTTATAAGCATTAGGTTAGATGCTAGCTTAACAAAAAAACAATATTTCGTTAGATGCAATGAAAACAACATTTCGTTAAGGAACATATGGACCACAATGGCATATTGGCCAAGTGGCCAAGTTTGAACCCCCTTAATTTCAAGGAGTTTTATCTACCCAAAAAATATAGAAAAAAAATTGAAGGAGTTTGGTATATGCGTAGAGGATTTTCAGATGGCTTAAATAACGACAATTATAGAACTTTTTTTTTATCTACTTGTTTATTTGACATATAATGAATCTTTATTTTTTCTAATGGAAGGGCAAAAGCTACTGTGCATATAAATTATATTGTCAAGCAAAAAACGTGAATCATTGATGATGATATAGTGCTCCTTGCGGGTGGACTGTTTGGACGTCGGATTGAGTAGGTTGCTTGGTTGAGCTACAAGAGAGAAGTGATCAGAGTGTTTGGGTTGTTTGACCTAGGATAGGCCTTCTGATGCTTAAGTTAGTGAGCTGGTATTTGATTGCAAGAGAACAAGAGATATAGAGTGCTTAGAGAACTAAATTACACATACTTTGTGAGGTTGGAGGTGAAGTCTTTATATAGGTGAGTTGTTCTAAGCCTCACGAAATGCATTCGGAATCTCTAGTCTATCTGGTTCGGAGGTGGTTTCACGCCTAGAGGTGGACTCTGCATAAATGGGCAACGTTTATCCAATCCCACCCGAAGCGAGTGGGGCGATAAGCAGCTCTTCCGACGTGGCATCGTATTCCTAGGGAATTCGGAAGCGATAGCCTGCTTAAGGGGGAGGTCGCTCAACATGTCGGACAGGTTGTTAATCGGAGTCGAGTCAAATCAGTGGAATCAGGTCGCCTCTTACACCGACCTAAGGTCTTGCCTAGTTGTTCACAATTCGACCCACCAGAATGGTGTCGAGGTCCTCAATATGATTATGTAATGTCAGAAATGATCCTAAAATCAATTTATATGATGCCAAGATGTCACTCTATTATTCTGCAATACCACTTGTCTTAATAAGATGGGATTACCAAATTACACCTCAATAAATTTATCGAGATGTCACCATTAGCATTTTAATGTAATTAAAGTATTCGACATAATTTATAATTATAGATTGTAAAAGCGTGAACCAACGAAACTAATGGCATCTTTATCCACATACAATATGTTTTTTGCACCTCTGCACCTAATTGGACTCGTAAAGTAGTAAGCTAGACCTAATTTGACAAGCAATGTCGAAAAGGTGGCTGGCTTGAATGGCAAGATGGGAATATGGAAGGATAAATCATACACTGATTAGAATTTGGAAGCCCATCTCGAATAAAAATATATAAAAATCAAGTAGAAATATTTGATAAGCGATTAGTTAATTGGATTGCTTTTTCAAAAATCTTTGTTTTTTTTTTTCTTTTTTTGATAGAAATCTGGTATTAGAGAATGGCGACCCTTTCCTTTATTCTCTTATGAGAACTCCCGTTTTAGTGGGCAGCAAATTCTTCATCATCATATATCGATGACACATCAGAACTCAGAAGGTTCAAAAAGCAGAGCCGATCGAAACCAATGGATGTGGTTTTATTCTGTGAGAATCGATCAGCTTTTCCTTTCTAAATATCCCAATATCCTTTTTCTTCCAATCTCTGAAGAAGAGGGCACCTGCTGAACTCGAATTCCGGACAAACAAAGTTCATAGTTGAGATCAGTTGGTGACAAACTCCTCGCCCATGACCAGGCCAGTTATGGGAATGTTCCAACTTCCTACCTGAGAAACCAAAACCCAGAGAGACAAAGACACAGACAGATATTCTGTCACATGTCTTGTGAGTTTGGTTGTTGTAAGTATAGAAAAGAGGAGGAGAGCCGGCTGGATGACCTCCCTGGAAGCTGGAATTAATGACTGGACCCAAGCGAGGAGGAGAGGAATCACGACTCACGAGCTCCTCCGCTAGTTCCGCCAGAATCATCAACTGTAAAAACCATAATTTATTTTTCTTGTTGACTTGGTCAAATGAAGACGACATATCTCTCTTCCTCAAAATCCCATCCTAAACTTAGATTGTCTTTGTACTGGCCAACCTCTTTCGGGTCACCAATCACCATGCTCCTTCCAAAAAAGCACTCCGTCACAGAAACAGAACAAGCTAAAGAAACCTAATTAAGGACAAAGAAAGAATTTGAGAATTCCATCCCTCCGAACAGCGGCCCTTTCCTCCCCGGAGGTGGCACATTTCCCGCCAAGCCATGGCTGCTGTTCACCTCCTTCGGTCACCTCTTCTCCTTTTTCTCCTCACTTCTCTGGCGTTAGCCATACCCGAGTCTGATTCTCTCCTCAAACTCAAGAAATCGTTCGTTAATGCCAATGCACTCGATTCCTGGGTCCTGGGTTCCTCGCCTTGCTCATGGACCGGCATCGTCTGCTCCGAAGGCAACATCACTGGCCTCCGGCTTGGCAGACTGGGCCTCTCGGGATCCATTGACATCGATGCTCTCGCTGAAATCCAAAGCATTCGCACTATTAGTTTCGTAAACAATTCTTTCTCGGGCTCCATACCGGAGTTCAATCGCCTTGGTGCTCTTAAGAGCATGTACTTATCCGGGAATCAGTTCTCCGGGGAAATCCCGTCGGATTACTTCTCGACGATGGCGTCTTTGAAGAAGCTGTGGCTCTCCGGGAATGCATTCACGGGTGCAATTCCGGCGTCATTAGCCCAGCTGCCCCATCTCATTGAACTACACCTCGAGAACAACCAATTCTCAGGGGCTATCCCCGAATTCGTACACACACCTTTGATATCCCTTGACATGTCGAACAACAAATTGGAAGGGGAAATTCCGGCAAGCCTATCCAAATTCGGCGAGAGTTCCTTCGCCAGAAATGAGGGGCTTTGCGGGGCACAGTTGGCCAAGAAATGCGCTGCCAAGGCAACAATAACGCAAGTTACGGAGCCGCCGGCTGGAAATCCCGACAGCAAACAACAGGAGTCCAACAAGATGACTGCTGCGGCAATAGTATTGGTATCGACGGTTGTTTTACTTGGGGTAACTGTATTTCTTGTAGCGAGAAGAAAGGACGATGAGCTTGGCCGCTTCATCGTACTGAAGAAAGAGAACCTCGATTTGAAAGATGTGAATACACTATGGACGGGCAGGAACCGTAAGGGCGTCGACTCAAACAAAAGAGGATCACGTTATACAAAGGGCTCGGGGACGGAGGATCTGATACTGGTGAACGAAGAAAAGGGTGTGTTTCGGCTTTCAGATTTAATGCAGGCCACGGCGGAGGTGTTGGGGAGTGGCGGGCTGGGGTCGGCATACAAGACAGTGTTGAGTAGTGGGGTGGTGGTGGTGGTGAAGAGAATGAAAGAGATGAAGAGGGCCGGAAGGGATGCGTTCGACGTGGAGATCAGACGACTCGCGAATCTGCGACATCCCAATATCTTGACTCCCTTAGCTTACAGATACAGAAAAGAGGAGAAGTTGCTGGTTTACGAATACGCACCCAAAGGAAGCTTGTTCTATTTATTACATGGTACGTACGTCGATGGATTTGAACATTTGAATTGAATGGAGGAGTTAATTGATTGAGTTCATTAGTTTGTTGAGCACATTTCTGTTGTTTTTCAGGCGATCAAGGACCATACAGCGCTCCGCTAGACTGGCCCACTCGTCTAAAGATTATCAAAGGAGTCGCTCAGGGATTGGGTTATCTCCACACAAAACTGGTTTCCATTGAAATACCACACGGCAATCTGAAGTCTAGCAATGTTGTTCTTGGCTCTGCTTACGAGCCTCTGCTAATCGACTATGGGTTTTGCTCGATGGTCCTCCCAAACCCGGCCGCAAAGGCCTTGTTCGCCTACAGATCCCCGGAGTCGTTGCAGAGTCGACGTGTTTCCCCGAAATGTGACGTATATTGCCTTGGCATTCTTATTCTCGAGATACTTACAGGAAAATTCCCTTCTCAATATCTAGGCGATGGCAGTGGAGGGACTGATGTCGTGAAATTGGCACAATCTGCGATTTCAAACAGAAAAGAAGTCAAGTCACTCGATCCATATATTACAGACTCTAGGAAATCGCTTGCCCAGATGGAGAAGCTCCTCCACATTGGTGCAGCTTGCGCCGAATCTCTTCCTGAGAAACGGCCTGACATGAAAGAAGCCATTAAGAGGATAGAAGAGATACAGGTAGAGGACTCCGATGAAGCTACATCTGCCTGATTGGCGCCAGGTAGAGAGGTCGAAACCGTCGAATACGCTGAGCTATCATTGACCAACTCTCATTTTGGTGAACGTGCATGGGGACGAAACGGTGATAACAGCCTTTCCTTTTGCCAATTGCCATCGTTTCATAACTCTTTTTTCGATTAATCATGAATCATGAAATTAAGAGAAAAAGAAAGGAAATATTCCAGTAATCCATTCCATAACTCTAAAGTCTAAAGGAGATATAATGTTTTGAGTTTATATAAACTGCCGAGGTGCTCGTGTATGTTACACTGGGTTCTGACTTGTGAACAGAGTCCTGCGCTTCTAAGTTGTACGCTTGTAAGTTGTAGTATCTCAATTGCCGGGCGAGTGCGGTTGTCCCCAATGAAAATGGGGCCATTGGTTCAATCCCTGTTACCCTTGCACATATCGGGGACTAGCAATTCTAATCAAAAGCAATTGTAATTGATTTGTCATCTCTTATCATTTGCAGGAACAGAGAACTTAGTGGTGATGAAGGTTCTGGTGAAGATGCATGGAAGGAGGTTTCTTCATTGTCTTGGCTCAGAATTTTTTTTTTCTTTTCTTTTATGGCTTGTCCTATAATTTTGGAGTTTAGATTTTAACAGTAGTTCTTCCTTCAATGAAATTCTTCGTAATTCACCTTCTTTAAAATCTTCCTTTAAAAAAAATTCCTTTTTATGGTGTGTACAGTTCCAAATGTTTTTTTTTTTCAGATTTTGTATGCTTTTTTTTTTTTGTTTGTAAAAATCGCATTCCTTTTTTTGGGGGGTGGGATGTTCTACACCCAACTAATAAGAGGGATGATCATTTCTAGCCTAGTTTGGGCCTGGGTCAAATACTTTGGAGTTTAGGCATGGCCATGGCCAGCCCCCCAAACGCGTCAGGTTTGGAATGGTTTTCGTTCAACCCAGACCTTATCCGAACGCATTTCAAGCCAAAACCGACCAACCCAACTAAATAAAACAATGGAAAATAGAATATGATCCGATGGAGTCCGGCGCTGGTCCCAGCAACCGTTCTCAACAACCTCTGAGCTGTACATTGGCAACATCTCGCAATGAGATGGACATGGGAGATATTCCCAATATACGGCTGCAGAGGCTGTTACCTGTTCAGACCAGTTGTTGGAACCAGATCCTAACTTGACCCAACCACACCACAGATGGTGAACCTTACCCAATTACGGACTGAATGGGCAAAGAACGTTTCCAACAGCCTGGGTTGGCCTCAGACCCTGACCCAAAACCCAATTAAAACTGACCCAACTTTAACGGTCGCTTTACCAACCCACTGATGTCCCTATATTTAAGCTTGTGGGCCGAGCAATATATTTCGGCCTAAGCCTAGGCTATGCCCCTGTTATAGGTGTTAAGCCCGGCCCAAGCCCAGCCATTGATCTCTCCCAGGCCCCAAATATCCTCAAAGAGCTTTTGTCCTCTTTGCTGTTCAGACTAATCATCTAAGGAACAGGATAAATAAGAAAGCATTCAGCCTTGGCCCTTGATCATTGCCATGCTACTTCAAATAATGAATTACGGTATAGTACATCCCAAGCCAAAACCTTAATATGGCTTGCTGATTGTTATTGTAGTATACTTTTTTTCTTTTTCCCTTTCCTTTATGAAGGATATTAGAGGTGAAAGCAATGAAAATTGTTAGGAAAGTTTTATAATGCCGGAAAGTTATGACACGATAAAAGCTTTCGCCAATCAAAATCCTGTGAATTTTGATGAATACCTACCTAATTGGGTTATGAGTTTTATGATGTCAGTTGATTAGTTACAAGTTTTTCCGGTATCATGTCTTTCGATCATCATAATTCAACCTAAATTGTTATAAATAGGATTAATAAAAGTTTGTAATTGACAAAAAAAAAAAGCAAAGACAGGTTCATTCACATTACAGGTCTTGAAGCAAGTCTAAAAGACTATACAGGCTTCATTGCATCTTTCCACATACAGCCACCAGTACAACCCTTAGAATAATATAATAAAATTTGTTTGAATGGTGATAAATTATGTACAATAATTAAGAGGAGAAGAAGATGAGTCTTTCCAATTTGACATTTACTTGGCGAAAGTCTTGCCAACATTTATATGAGTAGGTGTTTCTGTAGGCTGTAGCTCCCAATCTGCCGTTGACAATTATGTAGACATATCAAGATACAGAAAGAAAGGAAATGCGTCTCCTTCGTGTCTATGACTATTGACTAATGACTTTGTACATTGTACGTTTGAGGATCGATTCTTTTGTTGCAACTTGCATCCACGAATCATGATGACGGATATTGGTTTGAAATTTCAAAATTAGAAAACACACAAATCTCCATCTCCAACCGCATTAATTTCTCTGTAAAACTGATGTATTAACTACCCAAGTACGTCCCCTTCTTTGATTCTCTTTGGGTTGCTTTGGTCATTTAAAAATAAATCACTTATTAATATTACTCACTAATTCGCCTGAACTGCATTTGTTTTAAGGGACATTCTGCAACGTGAACTGTTTTACTTCTGACAGCCCTTGCAGCCGAGACGGGATCTGCTCCTCACACCTGACGCCTCACGGTTGTCTTGCACACACACATCCTACCATGCATTGGAAATCTCCCATTATTATTTACGGGAGATATTATCAATGCATGGTGACGGAGCAGATCCCGTCTCCTTGCAGCCATGTATCCGGATGGAGATATTCCAAATACATGGCTGCAAAGGATATAAGAATGGATTTTGTGAAGTCAAAATCCAAATTCGTTTCTCGAAACAAAAATAAAACAACATGTTACTGATTGTGTGTGCTTTTTTTTGTTTTCAAAAAATAAAGAAAAAATATGTTTTTGAATTTTTTATTTCAAAATCATGTTTTCATCTGTTTAATATAATGTTAAATTATAAAATTTGTTTTTTAGCCATTCTAAAAAAAACATGTGTAGTTTTTTTAAACAAAGCCAACTTTATTTTTATTTTTACCTTTCGAAACAAAAACAGAGTTCATAAAATTGGGGTCTCTTGCCAACAGAAAACCCTCTCAACATATCCCAACATGATCTGTATCTATCCACACATCATACATAGAAACCACCATTCATGTGATGTACGGATACAAATGATGAGATGATATTAGAATGCATTAGAAGGATTTTTTTTTCTTGGCGGAATTTCAAAAATAAATCAAAACAAAAACATTGGTTCGTAGGAATAGGGGTCTAGAATTGGAATTGGAATGGGTTATTTCAATTCCAATTGTTTGGTTGGGCGGAATCAGAATCTTATTCCTATTCCTACTGGAATGGCATTCCTCTATTTAAGGAAATGACCATTCACTACCCCTTCCTTGCTGATCTTAATTCTCATTCCTATTTCTATCTAAACCAAACAGATTATGGGAATGGATCATTCTGATTCCAATTCCAATTACAATTTTAACTGCGAACCAAACAGACCTTCATATTATAAAACATCTCTAAACATAACACATGTCGCTCACCAATCGCATGTATGCGCACTATTATTTTTCTATCAGAATGTCCTCGAGGCCAGATGCTGTTTCCCTCGTTGTCAAGTAAAGTGTAAGCAGAGAAATGGTGTAAGCCTGCCAGATCTGTAGACTAGTCTAATTAAGTGCAAGTCCAAATTAAACTGGACCATGGACACTATTGCCCATGGGCCGGTTCTTCATCCCAGTTAAATAGTCAACTCTTACATTTGATGGGCCTTACAGCTGGCTTTACAGTAAAAAAAAACAAGAAGCCCACATAAATATAGAAGTAGAACCCTAACCTGGCATACAACAAGATCCCACCATCTCCATCTCGAACTCCCATAAAAATTGAAACCCTAATCATCCCTCACCCCACTCTCTCTCTCTCTCTCTCTCTAAGCTCCAACCTCGAGACTCTTTGTTTAAACAGCCCCCAACAAAAAAAAAGAATCTTTTCTTTAATTAAAATTAAAAAAAAAGTCACCCTATATTTAACTCTGCTCTATAAATAAATTTTAAAAAATAATTACGGTAAATGAATCCTATGAATCCATAGCGAGTCCGACATCCTCCCCGTTCTCGTCTTTTAACCACCATACACCACACGTGCATCCCCTTAATTTGAGAATACTTTTTTTTCAATTTGTTGCATTCATTTCTTAATAAACTACGTTACAGTTGGTTAATTAATTATTAACTCAGGGTATTAATAGTTGTTTCAACTTTCAAACATATAACGGAAGAAAAAGAAAAGAAAGAATTAAGACAAATTTCAACTGGGCCCACCTAATATGAGATTAGATTAGGTTGTGGTGTTAATGACTCCAAAGGGCTTATACAGCTGTGCACCCATAATTGTTTTTTTGTTTTTAAGAAAATGATAAAATGTTCCCTTCAATTACTACTTCCTTGATAAACTATTTATATTTTTTTCGAGGGCCAATAAATTATTTATATTGTTATAAGACGTAATATTCCTGTCATAAATAATTTATATACGTGCAGCCATGCAAGCACGTGAATGTCGGCCTCTTTTGGCCGTCCATCAGTCAGTTGACTTCATTTAATTTATTTTTCAATTAATTTAAGTTTTTTTTTGGTAATTTTTGTAGGTGGGTGAGGATGATGCAACCAAAGCAAAACAAGGATGCATACGCCAACGCCAACTATATACTCAGATCCAGCAACTCATGAGAGAGGGTCGCTCTTCGATGCTGAGCTGAGATTTTCCAACAAGAAAGTACAACTTAATTAGAGCAATGTGTTCACTAAGCTGTCATTGCTTATTAATTGTAGGCTTGTAGCCATGGATTAGGGGCTGTTTGGTATAGATTCACCCAGTTCAACGGCAAATGGGCCAACATGGGTGGATGTCTTATACAGTGGGCCTACCTGAACGGGCTCGTTATAATTTAGAGGGGTGATGCTATGTTCATAGGAGCATTTTAAGGCCATGTTTGGGTATATTTATATTAAAAATAAGTGTTTATTCGAATAATCATTCATTTGCATTTAATTTCCAGCTTTTTCGAGTGTTTATTTTAAAGCATAAGCGCTTTGTATTATATTGGGTGTTTGGTGGTCTTTTTCTCGATTAAGCACTTGTGATTCTTTTCAAAATATCCAATCCAAAGTGAATGGATCAAAGTATTTTGATAGAAGTACATTAGTAAAAGTGTTTTTATAAAAAGTACTTTCATAAAAGTACTTTTATAAAAAAGTAATTTTATAAAAGTATTTCCATGAAAGTGCTTTTATAAAATTATTTTCATAAAAAATATTTTTATAAAAGTACTTTTGTAAAAGTGCTTTCATTCAAAAGTACTTCCATAAAAATGCTTTTCATGGAACTACTTTTATAAATGTGCTTTTGTAAAAATACTTTGTTTTCATAAAAGTGCTTTCATACAAAAGTACTTCCATAAAAATGCTTTTCATGGAACTACTTTTATAAATGTGCTTTTGTAAAAATACTTTGTTTTCATAAAAGTGCTTCCGTAAAAGTACTTTACTTTCCTAACAATAGCACTATCAAAAGGGTATAATTGGTATTTTAAAAATTATCGGGGACAATTCTATTAGAAAATTTTTGAACAAGTGCTTATTGTATGAGCATTTAAAAAAAAAAAAAACTGAAATTTTGGGCTTAAAAAATATGCCCTTATTTTTAAAATAAGTACTTATTTTAGACTTATTTCTCAAATATCAATAAGTGCTTAATGTGTGGTCTCAACCCAAATAAGCACTTATTTAAGCACTCCCAAACATGGCCTAACTACAAGAAGGAGATAAGTCCTTAAAATAACGAATGCCAAATGCAACCTTGACATATATGTGCCGGACATATTCTCAATGGGATGTTATTTCTACAGAGTTTTGATTACACAAGATCTGGGCTTACCTTGTAGAGTGTGGATTGCACTGTCCCGGCCATATTTTCGTATTTTGAATTGAAACCAAAACTCGAGAAAAATAATGGGGTCCTTCTACAATATGAATGTTATTGTTTTTTATATTGCCACATTAGTAAAAGAACAAAAACATGTTCTTAAACTTTGTTTTTATTTTTAAAGAAAAAAAAAACAAATTGGTTTTGTTTTTTTACCAATAAAATATTAGTTTTTTAAAACAAAAACACATTTTCTAGTATAGAAATTATATAATTTATAGAACATGATGTTGAATAATCATATGAAAACATGTTTTTGACACCAGATTCAAGAACATGTTATTGATCCCATTTTTTTCTTTAAAACAGAAAACACATTCACAGCCAAAAGCATGTTTTTTGTATTGCTGTTTTAAGAAACAAAATGGTTTTGATTTGTTTCTCGAAGTGGTAATAAGAAAAACAATTATGTTGCGAAACACCCCCAAAAAGTTTTGGCCTGATCCTCCCTTTCTAAATTCTTTTTTTTTTTTTCCTACACTGTATGTTTGTACCCCAAACCCTCTTTATGTTCAATCCTCTATACATGCCTGTAAATTTACAGATCAAAGCTAGGGTTGCAGACACATGGAATTGGATTGGAAATAGGTAGGACCAAATTTGGTTCGTTTTTATTTGAATTCAAATGGGATCTTATCCATTAGGCTTATGTCAGATTTAAAATGATCATAATACTATATAAAATTAATTTAATGAGCTAAAAACGATTTTAATGTTATATTTTATGAATACATTTAATTTAAAACTATTCTATAAAAATTGAGTTGAACTGATTTTACTAATAAATACAATATAAATTTTAAATAAATATATGAATACATATACTTAAAATCAAATTGAATTGGATCACATTGGACTGTATAGGGGTGGATCCATATTCAATCCGGATCAAATTCAAATCAATTTCAGTGAGATAAAATTCAATTTCAAATTCGGACAATAAGATATATACCTTGAATATGAATATCAGATTCAAAGGTTGGCCTTGACTAGGTGTGGAAGGAAGACAATTTAGATGTTAATATAACTTTTTTTTGGTCATTGAAAGGAAAAATATTTCATTATAATTGTAAATTTGTCCATAATAATAAGTCATAAACAGATGCGAACGAATGCTACCAAAACCTACTTTGTCGGAGGACAAAAGTCAGCGTAAATGTTGGCCTAGACTAAAACTCATAAAAACAAAATAAAAATGCAAAACGATCAAGGAATTTCTGATTAATTTTTCCTACATCATAACTTTGCAATACTTTCCAAAACTTAGGAGAAATATAATGAAGATTGAGAGAGGTGAGTGAAATCAAGGCTGATAAATAAAAAATCAAACATCACCACCACCGCCGGCCGCCCGGGTGGTTGTCGGACTCCCCATACAAGAGCAGCCTCAAAGGCCAAAGCTGTCCTTAACCACTGTCCGAGGAATAATATTAAGGACACGTTTCTCCAAGACACTTGTCCCAATTCCGCCCCGCATCAACGCAATCAACTCAACGGTTAACGAAGCCCAGCCCCATTACACCCCCACATCTGTGTACGCACGCATAATTCCACAGCCGCACATTCAGAATATCTCTATAAATCACACTGTAAATCACAATAATTAATAAAAGAGATGTTCCCGATGTGCGGCTGAAGCAGATCCAGGCTCCAAACTTTGTTGTATAATCCGCCTCCCATAATATCGGTTAAGCTACTTTATTGACTAATGACTACCCAAATGGCCAAACATGCCTTCATTAGTTAAATATTCATTTCTATTTTTTTTTCCTGGTCACGACTTTGCTTCTTACCGAAATTTCCGGCACAGTTTCGAGTCTACCGGCGGACGGAATATACTTGAAAGAAGATGACTTGCTACAACTCCCGGTGAGGTCAAAGTCATTGGGCCAAAGCATGAAAGAAAGAGAGTCCTGCAAAGGCTCCTCCTCTTATCGGACTTTTCTTCTCTCGAAAACAAATTCAGATTCAGACAAAAGACCACAACTGCCTTTCTTATTATTTTGGGTAATTAGACTCCTTTAGACCACAGCTGCTTTACGAGACCAAAACCCAAGCCCAGAAAGAAAAAAAGAAAAGAAAAACCCTCATCTTCTTCTTCCTCCCCACTCCCCACTTCCCACTCCCCAGACGAAAAGGAAAGGAAAATAAAGAAACATCCTACCCCCTACACCCTTGTCTAGACTCTAAACAAAAACAAAATATCTATCTATACACCCATCTCTCTGCTTTGTGTTGTTTTGTGTTGTACTCTTTCAAACACAACTCTCTCTCTCTCTCAAACACGATCGACTATACCCTCATCTCACTGTCACCGCAACAAAAGAGAGAAAGAGAAGTTCACCGAAAAGATTTCCAGCTTTTGTTTGTTTTTGGCTTTTTGGCTTTTTTACAGAACTGACTGTTAAAGTTTTGTTTATCTTGCTTTTTTTTGCCTTTTCGTTTATTATTTTCCGGCAATGGAATCGCCGGAAAGCGTATCCATAGAATTCGAAGCCGCCGAAAAGATAATCCTCCGTTGGGACTCGACCGCATCGGAGGAGGGCAGGGAACGAATGATATTCGATGGAGATCGGGAAGAAGCTGACCGATACCTACGGGCTGTCGATGAGATCCAACGCTCCATGGAATCCGTCTCCATATCTGCGGATCCTAGCAAGGTCAACGGTGCAATCCAGATCGCCATGGCCCGCCTTGAAGACGAGTTTCGTAACATATTGATAACCCACACCAATCCGCTCGAGACGGACTCTCTTGTCGACCCCTTTTCTTCAAGTATCTCCAGCTGCAGAGCCGAAAGTACCGGCGATTTCGAAGATGAAGATTACCCGGAAGACGAAGCTCACAACAGCAGAGAAGATGAAGAACAAGTTCTGCAGCATGAGGGTCAAGAAGGCAGTAGTCGTACTTCAAGCTACCGGTCAACCAGCAGTATCCGTGAGATCGATCTCATCCCATCTGAAGCCATCTACGATCTCCGTAGCATAGCCGAGAGGATGATCTCTGCCGGCTACTTGCGCGAGTGCATACAGGTCTACGGGAGTGTTCGTAAATCAGCCGTTGATGCGAGCTTCCGCCGCCTTGGCATCGAGAAGCTCAGCATCGGCGATGTCCAGAGATTAGAGTGGGATGCCTTGGAAGCCAAGATCCGACGGTGGATACGGGCCGCCAAGGTCTGCGTTCGAATCCTCTTCGCAAGCGAGAAGCGCCTCTGCGAACAGATCTTCGAAGGTCTGGGACCCGGCGCCGATGATGCCTGCTTCATGGAGACCGTTAAGGGTCCGGCCATCCAGCTCTTCAACTTCGCCGAGGCCATCAGCATCAGTCGACGCTCGCCCGAGAAGCTCTTCAAGATTTTGGACCTCCATGACGCACTGTCCGACCTCCTGCCGGACGTCGACGCTGTATTCGGGTCGAAGTCGTCCGAATCCGTACGCGTGCAGGCTGCCGAGATTCTCTCACGGCTTGCGGAGGCCGTCAGAGGTATAGTCTCCGAATTCGAGAACGCTGTGCAACGGGAGCCGTCCAAAGTTCCGGTTCCTGGTGGAACAATTCACCCGCTGACGAGGTACGTGATGAACTATATCAGTCTAATCGCCGATTACAAGCAGACCCTGGTGGAGCTTATCGTTTCCAAGCCGTCAACCGGCTCACGGTACTCAGGGGACCCCACAACACCCGATATGGATTTCCCAGAACTGGAGAACCGGTCGCCTCTAGCCCTCCATCTGGTTTGGATCATTGTAATCCTGGAATTCAATTTGGAGGGAAAGGCTAAGCACTACAAAGATGCCTCCCTGGCTCACATCTTCCTCATGAACAATGTTCACTACATCGTCCAGAAGGTCAAAGGGTCACCGGAGCTCCGGGAGATGATAGGAGATGATTACCTAAGGAGGCTAACCGGGAAATTCAGGCAGGCTGCGACGAACTACCAAAGATCGACATGGGTGCGTATTCTGTATTGCCTTAGGGATGAAGGCCTACATGTGAGTGGGAGCTTCTCGTCTGGGGTTTCGAAAACAGCTTTGAGGGAAAGATTCAAGACCTTTAACTCTATGTTTGAAGAGGTTCACCGGACTCAGGCAGTGTGGTTGATACCGGACATTCAGCTGAGGGAAGAGCTCAGGATATCTATATCGGAAAAGCTAATCCCTGCTTACCGCTCCTTTCTAGGCCGGTTCCGGAGCCATATTGAGAGCGGCAAACACCCTGAGATGTATATCAAGTACTCGGTCGAGGATCTAGAGACTGCCATCTTGGATTTCTTTGAAGGATACCCAGTTTCCTTGCACTTGAGGAGGAGATCTCAGTGAGGAATGAATTTTAAGTAAACTAGGATGGAGTGTTACAAGTTAGAACATAGGAAATATTCTTTAAATTTTTGAGGGAGTATCTGGGTGAATGGGATTCCGGCGAAAGGGGTTTGTTTAGGAATTTGATTGGATTCTTCCAAAGAACCCAACTCGAATTGAGTCCCAGATAATATGATGTAAAGATTGGAGGAGACCTAGCTGTCGGGAAGATGAGGTGGAGCTTCCAGAGTAGCCAGGGCCTATTCCCACATGCTCCTGCCCTGTAAGCAATTTGTTTTGATTTATTACTGCATTCTAGCTTTTGTTTCATTTGTTCATAACAAAAATTGTTTGAAGTTGGTTTCCTTCCAATATATGTAAGAAACTTTCTTTGCTAAGTTTGGTGGATTTCTGACCAAGTAGCAAGTTTCTTTTACAGCAGCTTGAGCAATAACCAAATACATATGGAATCTGGTTAAGTTTTAGACTCCAGACGTAACCTGAAAGCTTGGACAAGTGGTTCTTTTGTAGTCCAAGCATTCTATGAGTATTTGCTGCAGTTTTAAGAATTTCATAAAGATGTATAAGACTGTAAACAAAGTAGAAAAGAAAAACACCTGAAACAAGCATGAAGTCTTAGACAATTTGGCATAAAACATAGTTCAAATGAACATATCCATATTATGCATGCTGATTAACATTGATGGTTTTATCTGTCATTGCACAACTTTACCTGACATTCTGCACATTAATGCATCCAAGTACTAGATAATCCTCATGAAGAGAGGGGCCCAAGTACTTAAATAAAGATGTATTGACAAACATCTCCACTTTGATGCAAAAGCCTCTATCGTGGACTGGATTGCTGTAGTTTCTACTGCGAGTCTACAACTTGTCATCCCTGGTTCTTGGTTTGCCAACTTGGACCTTACATTGGAGCTTCCTACCCGGGATAGGGGGACCCTCATAAAGACAGGGTTATTAGAAGAATATGTTCACCAGAACTCTTTATAAATCGGAATGCCTATTGATCTCAATCTCTGGCAGCTCATTTTGATTTGGAGATTGCAATTCGCACGCAAGTATATTTTCAGATTGCCAATAAGAATTAAAATGATTTATAACTATTGTTTTCATATTTGAATTTTAATCTTAATACATAGAAATTGAATCCAACAAAAACTTCTTTTTAGCTGATGCATATTGTTAGAATTTTAGCTGTATCCAGATCAGTCCGAACAGGAGATAGTCAATGGTGCATGTAATGGATGAATGTCATTATAGGAATAACTTGAATTAGTGGTTCACCGTTCACTGATTCTCCATGGTTAAGTTGATATTTTCTAATTGATCCAAATCAGATCAATATTGTGTGCCATGGAACACAATAACAAGCTGAACTTCTGTTTTTCAGTTAACTAATTAAAAGAGTATCTATCAAGCGCAGTACCTAGCCAAAAATTTTTGTCACACCATGTACACCAACATTTGATATCAATTTTGCCCCTAGTAGACCAAACATTTTTTATGAGTAACATCTTTTATCTCTTTAGTTCACATGGTTTAGATTCTGTAGGTAATTCCTGTTCAGAAAGTAAACTTTTCCATCCATATGGGTTTAAATTGACTGGTTAATAATTCATATCAATACATACGTATTGTGTTTCTGTGCTTGTGGTAGTTAATAAAGCATCTCTGCAGTGCAACATTTCTAAGACTTCCCTCTTATATCTCATATCTGTGGTGTTCAGGTACCACAATACTGCCATGTAAATCGAATAGCAAACTACTAGACATTGCAAACTCTCAAACTGTTATGTTCAGCCAAAGGATTGGATGCAGAACTCATGAAGTAGAAAACAGGACAAAAATACACAAAATTGGTAGCCAGAGCTGTTTTGACCTTTGATACAAGATGCTAATGTTATCCAGAAATTCAAAATATATGCAAATATTGACTGTGATTCACCAAGTAGATCTTCTACAACAAGAATTGTTTTCTTTGTTCTGATTCCGAAAAAACTGGGAATCACAGTTGGTTTTAAAAGAAAAATATTACTCTCTTAAAGCAAAAGCACTGAAGACGTTCTTTGTTGATTAGTGTTTTTCCTGTTTTTTCGCACCTTTTCAAAACTTAAGCTGGAAAGATGATCTTGAATTTCTGGTTTGAAAACGTCTTTTTATTTGACAGATTGAAAGAATACAATTTTCTGAATTCTAATGAAATTGGCATTAACTCATCTTTTTTTGAAATATTAGTTGTTTGTGATCAAGCTCTAAAGCAACACTTGTAAGTTGTAACGGAATTTATACGAAATTGTAGTATGTGTGACAAAAATTATCCCAATCCTCGATTTCCTCATCACAGAATTGGTCCTCACAGCCTTTGCAGCCGTCCATTGGGAACATCTACTCATGAATAAAATCATGCATGTACAGATGTTTCTGATGTGTGGCTCAAGGGATGTGGGGTGGTGAGGACCAATTCTATGAAGAGGAAATCCAATCTCCAATTAATTATCTAGGCATTGTATTTATAAGTTTTGGAGGGAAGATTTAAAATGCATAAATCTTTCTCTCAAATTTTAAAGTGCTTTCGTTTTTTATGTAATTTGCCTTGAGAACTTTTCTAACCTCTGGAAGCATGTGAAAATGCTTTTTTACATTGTTTAGGAAAGGATGTGATGTTTATTAACAAGGTTACTTTATATTCATGTGACTAGGGACCCATTGGAAAGGGATACACTATACATTCTTCTTACTTGCATGTTTGTGGGGTTAAACAGTTTTTTTACATGTGCACAGGCTTTGGTTGGGTCGTAAGCATGGGCTTTGATGCATGCACCGCATTGTGTCCTTCTTAAACAATTTTATTTAAATGTTTTAAACCCCGGACAACCCCTGTTGTACACAGTTCTCGTTGCTTTTGATCCAACGTTGTTTTCCCATTACCATCTTCTAAAACGACTCCCAGCAGACTAAGGGTACTTTTGACGTATTTTTTTGCATGGTATTTCGACTGTTTATAAGTCGTAAAGATCGATTTTTTGTCTATTTCTGTTTGGCGCATGGAAGAAAAGATGCGAAAAGCTTATTTTTGGAAGTTCCAAATGAAGTTTTTTACGTCCTTTGCGTTTTAATCTTACGTGGAAAGATACAGAAAGATGCATGAAAAGACATGTATCTGCTAAACGTGCTTCGGGCTGTTCAGATCTTCATACAAAAGCTTAATGTGTCTTTTGTGTATTTTGCATGTCAGAACTACTAGAAGATATTTTCAAAAAGATGCGCCAAATGGGCCCTAATTACTAAATGCATGTCTACCAAAAACACATGTAGGCGCTATTTCATCCAAAAATCAATTTACAAGTTATTATTTAAATGCAATTTTTAAGGAGAGTGAGGATTGAACAGGTGGCCTAACTCAACCCATTTTGCACTTCTATTGTATGTTTGGAACTTCCATTTTATAGTTTCACAGTAGTTTACAACTTGGTAGTGGTGTTTTCATGTAAGGTGCCAATCAACTGGTTGATAAAGTCAGTCTCTTGCTGATCGTAGTGAAGACTTGAGATGAAATCTTGCCTACACTTGAGTATCCCGTTGTGTAGCCATTCAATAAATATCTAAAAAGTGCTGTTTTCACATGTACAGTAGTGGTTCGGAGTTCGGACAACATCAAAATGATAAAATTCCATCTGCCCCTTCTTTCTATATCCACAACACCATGCCAGCCTTATGGAGTGGATGACATGATTTTTTTATAGAAAGAAAAAAAAAAGGTATAGTATGATTATTGTATTAAAAGATAACATGCTTTCGCTTTTGAAGACATGTTTTTATTGGTTTTAGAAATAGAACCATTTTACTTAATCAAAATTTATATATGTTCAATAATGTATGTATGTATCTATAGAAAATAAACCCTCATCCAAGAGATGCCCAACAATAAACTTGTTAAACACTTGAAATGAGAACTGAATACTCTAATGTCTCCTGAAAGTACTGATAAGAAGCATTAATAGCAATCCAACAGACCCACAGTAATCCGAATCACAATTTTTGTTCCATGAAGTGGTAGAATTATGATTATGTTCGAGGTGAAGTATAGAATGATGGATGCAACGTTAATTGAGAATGATAGCCCGACCCCTAGCTGGTTATCTTATCCCATTATGCTTCAGCCTTCACGGTCCAGTGAAAACGTCCCATTCCGCTGAAGACACGTTTAGTTCAGCCTAATTTTGGTTCACATATCCATTAAGGAAAGCATCCACCCATTAAGTACCTCTAAACTTTTAATTGGAACAAAGGCAAGACCCCATGAGCTTTAATTTTGCGATAAATGCTCCCTTTATTAGGATTTTCCTTCCTTAATTTGGAAAAAGGATCTCATTATTTAGATGTTTATGCTGTGTTTGGTTCAAACGAAAAAAATAGGGAAAGGAACAGAAAGGCGAAAATTTTTACAAACTTTTTATAGGTTTTCCTACCTTTTTCATTCTTTCTCTACCTTTTCCTTTAAACCAAACATAGCTTTAAAGTTTTTAAAATCCCCAAACACAACACTTTGAAGAGTGTTTGGCTGTTGTTCGATTGCTTCGTTTTCTGTTTAAAACAAATTACATGATTTTTCAGTTAATCAACAGTTATAAAATCAAAACCCTTTTATGTCTTCTTTCATTTATCTTTATGTTTTTTATAAACTTTGAGATTAATAATATTTTATTAGACTTATAGCTGGCTGAAGGAATTGGAATTGGTCTTTTGCTTTCACTCGGGTGGAATTCACATTTACCATGGTGTCCATGTTGACTAGACCTGTTCATGGGCCGGCCTATCCAAGTTGGGCTTGGATAGGACTTCAGGCCTGACCTTTTATTCTCTCTCTCTTATTATGAGAATGATGGTTCGGGCTTTCTCATAAAAGCCTGGTCCAAGCCCGACTTGATAATGTATTATATAATAAAAATATATTTTATATAATAAGAAAGTATGTATGTATATATATATATAATATTTTTTCTTTATTTTTCTTATCTTTTTTCAACTAATAATGAGATCTTTCATTGCTTTTTTTTAGGTTTTGAGGTTTTTTAATATAAATAGATTAGTTTTTAATTGAACTAAAAAGAAAAAATGTATATTTTTTTTCAAATTTCTGGTTGGGTTCGAGTTCAGTCCCGGGCTTTGGACTTTATATGAGGGCCAAGCTTGAGCTTGGACCTGAACATATTCTATTAATATAGTGACAAATCCTGATTCCGCCCGTGAATAAATCCACTTTAACATGGTTTTGTTGATGACTCATGGACTTGAAGACGCTCTACGATTGGATAGCAACAAAGCAGCTATTTTGTTCTCTTTTTTTTTTCCCACTGTAATTCAACATGTTATCTGAGAGCTCTTCATCAACGAGACAAAAGTATTTTTTTTGGCAAGAAGCAATGGGGGTGCAATAATGGAGATATTTTTTTTGCGTCAGCTATGTTTAAAAAAATAAACGAATAAAATAAAATAAAATAAATTTTAGATAGATAATCCAGTAGAGACATTGATTCGAGTCCCACTATTACCACTTTCGTTGGAAAGTAAGTGTATTATTTAGGGAGAATAACTAATCAGCTCAGATCATAATTTTATAACCTCAAAGTATAGGGGGAATGCATCCTAACCGTGAATTGATGTCAAATTCACGGACAAGATATGGTTTATAGGGGGAGAGAGCTAGTAGGGGGGCTGAAATTCGGAATTCTGCATCATGTGTATTTGTACTTCTCCTTATTATTTAACGTCTTTTGTCATCTAACTTAATGATTAAGGGTATTTGCCAAATGAAGGCTTATGTGGGGTTATTGTACCCGATAGTACAAATGAAGTCTTTGTGAATTACCCAATTTTCATATTCAGAAATATCAAGTGGTTGATTATGTCCTTTGAGAAGCTATCAAGATTTTAGTAATGGATATGCAATGAAGCTCTAGGGGGATTAGATGAGGAGAACCTTTATCTCTCTCTCCCTTCATTTTTGTGTTGTGCAATGAAACTCTTATAAGATAGACGGAATGATACATTGGAAATGGGAAAAAAAAAAAAGATATGGGTATAAAACCGGCAAAAGAATTCATAAAATATTACAGTTTTCCAATTTACATATGATCGTGTATTTGTCTAATGTTATCTAAGGCATCCATTAATGCAAACTTAAATGAGATATTGGAGAAATATCCTACTCCCTCTAGAAAGGATCAGAAATTTCCACTTACAAGGATTATCTGGAAGAAATCAAAAACAAACTAGGTAGTGGAGAAGTAAAACCCTTTTGATCAGTGGGAGAATCACAATGTTAAAATGAGCTATTGGTAATATGGTACAATATCTATATATATGGAGAAATAAAAATTGAAAACAAAGCATTTTTCACATAGAAAATGGAAAAAGGTCTACATAGAAATGGCAATGGGGTGGGTTCGGGGTAAGGATCATATTCTCCATTCCCGACCTCGATTATAAAATTAATATCTGTCCCTGTCCCCGATTTCCGCCGGGAATAAAATTTATCCTCCATCCCTAATCCCCGACGGGGATGGGTTCCTCGTAGGGACTCAAATCCTCAAAATAATTTTAGATAACAATATTTATTTGAAAAATAAGTTTACTTAAAATAAATACAAATTTTAAACTATAAATAATTTTTTTAAATATATTTTGATCAATATAATAATATATATGTATATATACATAATCAGGATTGGGGTAGGGCGGGGACCTCAATCCCCATCCCCAACCCCGACCCGGGGATTCCTATTAATCCTCGTCCCCACCCTGCCAAAACAACCCCCATCTCCGGCCCCATTGGTTGAGAAAGTCGGATCCCCATTGGGGATGGAGAAAATTGTCATCCCTAGGTCTGTAATTCGCATGTTAAAAATAAATGGTAATGTAGGAATTAGGAAAATGGATATCATAAACAAGGTAAGTTTAGTGAAATCGAGATGAATAATCTTAAAAGAATAAAATAATTGATGGGTTCAAGTAATAAAGTAAATACATAAAGAGCAGAAGCTCCTTTGAAGTAAAAATTTCCGGAAAGAAAAATACTTTATGGGGTTGGACAGGGACTTGTAGGCAAACAAGTAATATTATAAAATCAAGTGATGGTGGTGGCTCAGTTGTGCATTTCCTTCTTAGTTAAATCACTATATACTATTTCTGCGCCCAATTCTCAGAAACAAACTCCCAACAAAAAATAAAGATACTATTTGATAAAATGATTAAACTGTGATCTAGAGTGATGGAGTTTTTGTGGGGAAATAGGAGAGGAAAATCACATATTTATTAAGGGGGTGTTCTTTTTTTTTGATTTTAAGAAGGGGAAAATTGGTTAATGGGATTTTGATTTTCATTAACTAAGAATCCTATATATATATAGAGAGAGAGAGAGAGATTTTCAGATTTATGTGGAGATCAGGAAAAATTTGTTTTCCTATTTAGGTGGATAAATAACTTTCCCCCACATTGAAAGAAAATTAGGAACACTTGAATGTAACAAAAATATCACTTTTTAATAATAGATTTTTATGATTAAAATGGTGATTGACTTATTTACATAGAAAATGAAAAAACATAGAGGCGTAAGTGCCAAATGGCTATTCAGGTCTCCCGTAACATGAGCAGAATTTTCCGAGATGAGCGCAGCCCTCTTTTGTTTTTTTGGTAAACAGATGAGAACGGCCCTCATGGTTCACTGGTTACCAACCAACCTCTCTATGCACTTCCAACATTATAATTAAAAAAAGACTCGGAGAAATTACTATCAATGTGATGCAGGGGATGATGGAGGAGTGCAAGCGAGGACGCTAATAATCCAACTAAGAAAGGAATAATACTCGGTGTCTCCCAAGGGATTCGTTTTCGGGACTTTGATTATATTATTTTCGCCTGAACTTGTGTAGAATTTTAAGAAAATCTGACGTGTTTATATTTAATTGGATAGTCACAGGGAAGTGCTGCGGCCGTCGCATAGCAGATGTGCTCCCAAGTAAACGAGTCCGACTCGTCGAGTCGTGATCCGCTGCTACCTTCGTGCCATTAAGTAGTAACCCCACAGGCCACAGCCACAAGAGACAACAGCTGATGTACGTCTGGTCTGGTAGGTGGTAGTAGTATATCCAGCCAGGTTCTACTCTCAATTGCTCATTATCTCGGCTCCTACGCGGGAAAAAAAGAGTGAAAAAAGGAAAATGAAAGGAAATTGGCGGGAAACATTTCCCGGGATCAATAAAGGTCGTTACCTATCGTCGCGGTTCGGTTTACTATAGACTTTCGCTCTTCTCTTTTCTGGTTATTGTTTTGCAAAGATGCATGCGAGCCAGTTCGACGGGAATGCTGCTTTCTCCGGCGGTGGATTCATGCCTTCTCAGGCAACCCAAACCACTGATACTGGTTTTTCCCCGGCGAAAGTATGACGCTCTTGTTCGCTTCCCCCTCTCTTTTTCTGTTAGGGCTTCGATTTTTTTTTTTTTTTATAGGGTTTCCGGGTTTTTTTTTTTTTGCAGAATCGTGACGCCCAGGGTTTGCTTCCATTAACAGTGAAACAGATAAGTGAAGCTTTTCATTCAAGTGATGAGAAATCCAATTTTGTCGTCGACGGCGTCGACGTTAACAATGTATGGTTTCTTAAATTTCTAATCTACCCCTCCTCCCATTTTCTTTTATTTTCCAAACTTTTAATTGCGTCTTGATTTCGATCTCGTATAGGTTTCTCTTGTCGGGATGTTGTTCAATAAAGCTGAAAGGGTTACTGATGTTGGTTTCGTTCTTGACGATGGAACGGGACGAATCGATTGTCACAGATGGTGATTTATTTGTCTCTGTATTTAAGAATTTTCCTTATGGTTTTAAGCACTTAGAGTGGTACTGAATTTTCGATTTTTTTTTTTTGTGTCCGTTTTTAGGGTGAATGAAACAATAGATACAAAGGAGATGGAGGGAATACAGTAAGTTCATAATATGTATATATATATATATATATATATTTTTCTCTCATCCCCTTCTATATGGTATTATAGCTGTTTGATTGATTGCCCCTTATCCTAGGAATTATTCGTTCTCTCCATATGAGATTTGAACTGTACATTTCTTCTCAAAATCTTAGGGCTGGATTTCGAGTGATCTCGTTGCATTTAGCTCCTTTTATTTCTCAATAATTTGAGCAATTTTATATGTTCTGGAATTTTGGAAATCGCTTGTTTTGTGCACGAGGATTCTTACTGTCTGCAATCTCTTAACTAGGGATGGGATGTATGTTGAAATTCACGGGCACTTGAAAGGCTTTCAGGGAAAAAGGCAATTGGTTGCCTTCTCTGTAAGGTAAGGGTTTCGATTTCGGGATATTTGTTTCTTTAGTTTAGAGTTTCACTTGGTATTTAGTCAGAGTCCTTATGATGGATCTCAGTTTGCATAGTTTATCGGTTTTTTTACGTGTTTCTGGGTAAAAATATTTTTCCAAAGACATTGCATCTTCAGATTAAGTCTGTTGTGGCTGCATCTGGTTGAACAAACCCCAGTCGGATGAAATATAGGCTACCAAAGTCATCAAACCTTGTTTATGCAACTGATTGACTGGTCGAGACTGTTCTTCACACTGGACTCCCAAGTTCCAGTGGGATGTGAAGTCCATTGGGTTATGAACAAAGGGGTATAACAAGTTTCATTCATGTCAGGTGTCAGCATGTATTGAACTACTTATGGTATTTCATTATATTTCCTGGTCGTTCTCTCTTAATAATAGGCTCGTGAAAATAACCGTGATGTTGAGGTTAATGAGGTGAAAGTTAAGGGTGTTCTGATGTTAAATTATTATTGCCGAGACATGAAGGATTGGAATGCTCCACACAACAGGTCCCAGTGAGGAGTATGGCCTAGGATAAAAGCCACATTATTCTGTTTTTCTGATTGTGAAGAAAAGTACTAAAAATTATATACTGAATGGGTAGGGTTATTTGATCAGGTCAGTCCTTTCATGCTTAGGAAATCCTTGAAAGGGAGGCTGTGCCCCAACTCCCTTGCACATGCACATGTGGGGTTATAGTGGTAGGGTATGGAGTCTTTCCTTGTCTTCTCAATCTTTTGAACTCCATGGGTTACTCGAATGTCTATTTCAGCCCCATAAGCAGGATATCAACATATAAACACTTCTTCCCATAAAATTTATATTGTTAGGAAAGAGTAGATTGTGAAGTATGCCTTTTGGTCAAGAATGGTATGCAACAGATACATAATGTGGTATGTAGAAAAACAGGAATTTCCTATATTGGCCACAATTTTACAAATGTAAGTGGGGCATAGGAGCTTCCTGGTGCACATGATTACCAGACTTATATGCATGTAATTATGAATGATTAAGCATGCTAATGGTCCATATTTTTGCATGCAAATTGCTGAAATTGCAACTATATTGCAATTTGTTAAAACCTTGAACTTTCCTGTTCATTCCAGGCCTGTTACTGATTTCAATCAAATTACTCATCACTTCATTCAGTGTATTTATGTGCATACGTACAACACCAAGTTACAGGTACTGTCTCCAGAATTGGTGTTTGTGCTCTACATTGATATAATAAACATTTGCACATGCTACAATACTCAGACACCCATATGCATTTTTCTCGGAATTTTATTGATACATTTGTTGTGTTTACATTAATAGAAAATGCAGGGTGGTACTTCTCAAATGGTAAATCCAGTATTGAACACTCCATTGCAGAATGGATCAAAGGGATATCAAGCTGCTGCAATTCCAAATCAAGTAAGAGAACAAAGTGTGTAAATTCATTCCATTTTCTGATTGATAGGTGCATTTGCCATAACATGTTTTTCTCTATTTTCTAGTTTTCTGGTCAGTTTAGCAGTGATGGACTCAAAGGAATTGATCAAATGGTCCTAGACTATTTGCAGCAACCTTCTAACCTGTGAGTTACAAATAAATTTACATGCCTGTTTCATCTTTCTTATTGATTCCAGCAGTATCATCTAGAGCTCTACCCTTTTTGTGCACCTACTGGCAGTACAGGATGCAAATCACTATCGACTGATTCGTTATGCTCTGTTTTAATGACAACTTTTCTCCCATGCTTATAGTGCACAGGAAAAGGGCGTACATAGAGATGAAATTGCACGGCAGTTAAAAATTCCACTGGACAAGATCATGTACTCTCTCTCTCTCTCTCTCTCTCTCTCTCTCTCTCTCGAATATACAGTCACACATACATTTGAGGGAAGGTTTAATCATGTGCTTTTATTTGGATCAGGGAATCGATTAGATCTCTTGAAGAAGAAGGCTTGATTTACTCAACCATTGATGAATGCCACTACAAATCAACTGGCAATGGTTAACGAAGTAACATCTTCCGAAGTATCTTCTTTTATGTAAAATGCTGTCCTTGGAAAGGAGATGGGAAGCCCTTACTAGGGTCTTCAAGTTTTCATGTTGCAAATTTTGTTATTATGCTGTTTTATTATTTTTATTAGGGACGTGTCAATATTGCAGTCCGAGATAGATGAAAAAAGGATGGTAACAGTGTCAGTGTTGGTAGAATATTTCATCACATGTTGAGAATGGAGCTTTTATAACATCGGTCCTTGACTCAGAAATCTCATACCAATGTTTGTTAAATCGCAAAAACTGTTCTACTTGTGTTATCCACTCCACTGCCATGGGTAGGCCACCCGCCACCCGCCATTACCATGACCATGACCATGAAGTTGCGATCTAGAAAGAATTTCAACAACCATGACCCGATACCATTCGCATTTTCAAAATTGTGGACCAAAGTGACACTCCCTTACTGCTTACTGCTAAGAGGATCAATATCCATTAGTTGTGGTCGGGAGTTAAGATGGGATCTGAGTTCTGAAAAGTAACAGCCTTCTATTGCCTTTTGAACAGAAAATGTTAAAAAGATGGTCGAAGAAATCGTATTGTAGAACTGAACTTGATTGCTAAGTAAGAACCATACCATACAATAATTGCGGTGTTACAAATATTAATAAGGATGAACAAGAAGAAAAAAATAAAGAAATAAAGTGGAAGAAAACGAGGTGTAGATAGGAAAAAATATAGAACTCCATATGATCGGTCCTCTTCAATTGGGGAATCTCCTCTTCTGCAAATACAACATTGACCACAGGATCAGGTGGCACCCGAATGTGACGTGACCCCAAATATCCTAATGCTTAGTAAACATGTGGCTCCAATTAAATGATGAGGTGAAGTGGGTCACTTCTACTCTGTTTTATCTTCTTCTGGATCTCCATTCAATGCTCCACCGTTGCTATGCACAGGCACAGCTATGGTTTCCGTTAAGCTCCGGACATCCTTTGGAACAGGGGATGAGTTAATGAGGGTCGGTGTGTCCTCGTCAACCTCCTCATTTGTATCCTCAGAGTATGCATATCTGCCATGCAAATCCACAAATAGGTATAAAGCTGTGAAAAATAGCGCTACTACAGAAGAAACGAACCGCTATTTGTCTTTGACTGATGACTGCTTGTATTAAGAGAATGATTGGCAGCATTTTTTATCAGACAGTGAATCTTCCCTTAGGCAGGTTTGTTCTCATTCCATTTAAACGATTTAACAAAAGCACTAGTTACAGTTAAAAAGATAATAGGCATCATTATTCCTGGAAATTGTCTACTTGCTACCACCAAGAGGAAATGCACAAATAATGGATCCCTTTTTATTGATCTGTTCGCCAATGTGCGACATATCCCTCAAACAAACAATCTTCAAGCATCTTTCAAACATACCAATAAACGAAATAACATTTTAAAAGAGAAGATCAGACAGCAGAAGAGAAAGAAAAGAAGTGATTAAAAATGGGGTTATGGATTTTACCTTGTAGAGTTATGAGATGGTGCCCAAAGTGCACAAATGACACAGAGAAGAGAGAAAGAAAGGACCTGCCAGAAGGCAGGAATGATCCATGCTTTCTGCCACCGTTCATTGTACACATCACTTGACTTGAAGTACAGCTGCAGAGAATAAACAAAGATTATTTAGTATTTGTGCCAGATCTTTGGAGTCATCATTGTTGTCATCCAAGCTTTGTCCCAGCTATACGGAGTCGGTTACATGAATCCTGTCTCACCATTCCATTCTGTTTACATTCAAAGACTCAACCATAAACAAGGCAAGACACCTAAACCATGGTTTTTAAAACCAAACCGGTCAGGGGTCCGGTTACCGGTTCAAATGGTCCGACCGTTTGATCCAAATGGCCGGCCCGTTCTGACAAAAATAAAAAAATTAAAAAATTTGAAAAACGGTCGGTTAACCGGCTGGTTCAGCAGTTTGCTGACCAAAATCAATGGTTTTGGGGGAAAAAGCGGGTTTGGGGAAAAACAGAACCGGTCAGGTGACCGGTTCCCGGTTTTTCCAGTCCGACTGTCCGGCCCGATCCGGTTTTGAAAACCATGATCTAAACACATGAATAATCCTTGTATGTGTGGAACCTGAAGTAATGACCTCTGATTTTTCTTAAAGAAAAATATAATAAAAAGTAAAAACAAAAATAGAAGTCATACAAGATAATAAAATTCATTCAGCTATACCACAGAAAATGATCTTTAGACCAAAGAAAAAGCCTCAGTCAACATTTACCTTTTAGGTTATTGACTTTCTGAAACAGAATTTATATCAAAATGTAACCAATACTATAAATTTAAAATCCAAAAAAGTCACAGGTTCACAGTTGTTACGTGGACACAGCTTGGGCAAGGCATCTGACATGGAATGTGCACCATCGTCCAATATGGACATGGCACCCATTTTCAAGTGTTCATGCAACATAGGTTCACAGCCATGCTACAGAGAACACATCTGTTTCAATGATCAGAGACACGTTAACAAATAGAGAGGAACTTTTATTGAGAAATAAGATTTATACTTAAATTGAAAAAGTAATAAAATGATATATTAAACTTCATTATTGTGATGAGAACTACATCTTTTATTAGTGTATAAGGTCCAAGTCTTTAAGACACCTCAACGTGGAGTCTCAAGAAGTAAATAATAATTAAGATTCCAACCTAAACATAAATCAACAAATAGTCAAATGATCAAAGAATAACATGCGTCAACATCTGAGATTACAAGAGCCCAAAATTGACATTCCATGATTTTTCTTTTTCTTTTTTGCCCAATACCATCTGGATGCTTATGGTATGGCCTATAATTTAGCTAAAGAGGGTAGAGAGAGAGAGAGAGAGAGAGAGAGAGAGAGAGAGAGGTAATCATTTCTCATTGTTTATGGTGTAATCGTTTCCAAGTTATGAGAAAATGTAAAAACAAGGGAATGAGGAGGAATAATATATAGAAATAAGCCACTTTTTTGTGCAGCAATTTTTCTGGAGAGGCAGTCTACAGTGGAATGAACCAAATGCATATTACCTCATAGCAGATCCAACCAACTGATACAATAACAGATACTGCCAATGCATTTGTGAACTTCCTGTAAATATCTAATTTGGCCATCATCCGCCTTGCCTGTTACCAACCACAAGCAGAAAAATACCACATTTTAAAGTAAGGTCACTGCATATTTTTTCCCTGAAAGCAAATGAAATAGCATAAAGAGCAGTACCAATGCAACTATAGCATGAAATACTTTTCCTCCATATCATCGAAGAGGAAAAGAAAGAAGAAAAACCAATCTAGACTGTTCAACCAATAGGTCATACCAAGAAGATTTTAATTCTATTATTATTGATAAAATAAAAGATGGTTCTAGTTCTCTATAGTCCAGGAATTAGCTCAACAGTGATCTAATCACATAACAAATGAGCTTAAAAAAATATTGATTGCTGAATCCTAAAAGGAAGTTCATTAGATGTCAGGCAATTAAATGGAAAATGGGGGAACATGAAGTTAAATAATCTACTACATCAAAATCACTTTTATAATTATAACTTTCAACTATAAATTTATGTTATGAAGCCTTTCAAGATCAATAAGAATATCCAAAATGTAATGCCCTTATTTTTAAGAAGAACAAGTACCTGAAGCTTATTTAGAGTCGTGGAGAGAGAAGTAAATATCCAAAGAATGAAAAAGGCATCCAAGATGGCCACAGGAAGAACCAGAAATAGTCTAGCTTTCCCTGAGAGATCGTTAATGACACCAACATTCTCTACCAGCTCAAGCACTTCAGATGCCAGGAAAAATGTCCCTCCAAGCAAAATCACCTTAGATGTAAGACCACCTAGGGTTGGCCTCATGACACCATAGCCCATGGAAACCATCAGGATAATAACACGAGCAACTGTGTGTTTAACAGTACCAAAAGTGACTGCCCAAATAGTAATCCAAGTTGGTCTGACTCCTGTTTTATTGAATTCAGCATACTCGAAGTACCATAGTGCCATCTCAAACATACCTAGTGCAATCACTAGAGTTATGCAGTTCTGCAGTTGGAGAACCTCTTTCCAGAATCTAGCGTACTGAGAGAACCAGAAGATACCAAGTATCACATAAGCAAGGGACATGAACCCATAGAAGTTCATAAGTGGGGCCATCCTCCCAGGTAGATATCCAGTAGGGTTTTTCCATACAGTCTTCCCTTCTATAACCAATTCCTTAAGGTTTGGGTCACAATGAATAAAGTACAAGTTATACATTCCAGTTTCCTTTATCTGTATAGATTTTGGTTGTAATGTTGTAACAGGATCATCTCCATTGAAAGAGATATCAAACACTTGGGGCCAATTAGGATGTTGTGATGATGGGCGGTGTATGACTCCTCCTCCTTTACACACACCCAGTTTTGCAAGATCTGAGGTGCAGCAAATAGCTCTTTGACCTCCATAGGCTGAACCACCAATCATTTCTCGGTCTTCTATCTCGAAAACAATGGCATGTACCACACTAGAGCTGGATGTTGCAGATTCTTTTGGCCTCCTGAATGTAATCTCCTCAAAACTGGTTTCATATAGGCAAACACAGGAAAAATAACATGTCAGAATAAAAAATAGCAACTACAAGAATAGATTATTCCTTACCTTTTTTTTGGGGGGGGGGGGCATGGGCCAAGAAAATAAATTGCATGTAAAATTTGCAACTTTATTCACTGTATTTACGTTTAAATTGATGGAATACGTTCAATAGCCCTAATGATTTATTATGTGGAAAACTAAGTGGTATTCATAAACCATACCCTACCAGGCAGTCTTTCACCAATCCAACCCACGCTCTTCCACTAGCAATTTAGGGGAGGGGCTGAAGCAGTGAAGCCCTTTTCTTGTTCTTTTTTTTTTTTCTCCTTTGGTTCTTTTCGGTTGTTAAGGTGATTTTGTTTTGATAAGAAGAGGGAGTTCAATCGGTGTGCTTTGGAGATGATGGTGACTCATCACTAAAGCTTATATCTTCTTCTTTCTTTTCATTGAATTTTCCTTTTACTATCGAAAATTTTTTGGCATTTTCACCATGTGATCATGCTTTAAGAGAGATATCCCGGTAGAATTCATTCTCTTTCTTATTTAGTTTCATTAACAGAGAAATGAAACCCAGAGAATAAGTTGATAACTTCGAAGACCAAGTACGCCTGCCAAGTTGCATGTTATCTTGTTTGCATCAAAATATGATAACATGGAGGTCCCCCATATTTTTTTAACCACTTTAAATCATCTCAAAATCCTAATATTTCAAATGATAAAATTGCATAATTCCAACCTCTCACTATCGGTGAAATTGCTACCTTCATTCACCTAACGTAAATCCTCCACAATTTAACTAGTAATGCAACTCAAGACAATGATAGACCAATCAAGGCGATTTCTGAAAATGACTGAAAAGAAGCAAGAGGAGCATCCCTCTCAGCTGCTTCATGGGAATAGATCCAGCACCTTCAGCCCCACATTGTATTGGATCTCACAGTGGGAGAAGAAACAACAAGAAACAGAGCAACCAAAATCCCCCAATTCTCCATTAACAGACACCATAAAGCAAAAATTTTCGCACAAAACACCAAATTAAAAAAGAAAACAAATAAAAAATTGGATATCGAATTTACCGAATATAGGAATCCCCATTTCCATTGGTTGAACTCGCGTTCTTATTCGGAAGCGAGGAATAAAGCCCCTCGCTGCCTCCATGGAAAACAAAAGCGTTTCCTTTGGCGATGAATTTCTCTCCAGCATATTCGTGGACAGAAGCTTTAATGCTTAGAAAGCGGAGAAACAGAAAAGATAGAGCTGAGAAAAACTTCACCAACGTCATTGTTGTAGAGATGAATCTCCACAGACAGCCAAACACGGCTTGAGAATCTGAGCTCTGGATCTACTCAGCCTACCGACGCAGAGAAGAGTTCGAAGTTCGAGGGAGAGTGGCAAGACAACACTGGCAGAGGGCAGAGGGCAGAGTGCAGAGTCTTTCTAGTGGAGATCTCAAAGTTTAGCTAACAAACGAGTGCGGTTAAGTTAACCCGAGTTCAAGTACGTTACCGACGTTACGTGTATTACCGTAAGATAAGACTAACGTACGTCGCACCGCACGTTATCCATACCCTTCTGGTTTCTTCAAGGTTGGGATGAACCGGTCATCCGGATCGATCATCCAATCTGGAACCGGCTCAAACTGGCGGCAATCTGATCAATGATCCAAGAAGATCCACGTGGTTATATGTTTTTTTGGTGCATGTGATGCGGCTTTCGGTAGCGTAGGGATCTATTACCATTTACCAACCAACCAAACGCTCCCAACACTGAAGCACTCGCTAATGCAACCGTAAATTGAGAACATCTCTTAATTAGGACATATTGGGAGCGTTTGATTGGTAGCGGATCTTTAATTCCGCCCCGGGGTTGCCACACTCTAAAACCAAGTTAGCGGGGTTCGTGACGGCAGGATACAGTTAAACAGAGGTCACTTTTGCTACAGACGCGGCTATAGTCTAAGCTTAAAACCGTAGATCACGGCCTTTCATGTATTACTGTGGCCCTACCTTGTTGTCGCTTCATCTAATTCATGATGGGGCCACAGGTCCACAGCAATACATGAAGATCGTGATTTCACCGTCACGGTTTAAGGCTAAAACCACGCCCTAGAGCAACAGTGGATTGAGATAAACAATTAAACATGCGGGCCCGTCGACGTTTACTATACGGAGAGCCTGTCCTGTGTTTGAATAGACCTGTCTACGGGCCGGACCGGGCTTTCCTCTTTATTAATATTTAGGCCTCAACCCGAGACGAACTCGGCCCGATCGTTAGGCATTTGGAGCCCGAACCCAAAGCCCTGCTTGTAAATTGGGTAAAAAGATTTTTTTTTGTTTTGTATTTAATAAAAATTGATTTATTTATATTAAAGATCTTAGAACCCAAAATGTTGAAAAATCTCATCATTTAAAAAAGAAGAGTAATAAAGAAAAAAAAATATTGTATATTTTTATTATATAAAATATTATTAGGCTTGGGTTTAGACTCGTACTAAGGCTAGGCTTTCTAAGAAAGTCTGAGCCTGATCCGAAAAAAGTCAAGGTAAGTTCATTGGGCCCAAGCTCAAGCCCGACAAAGAATAAGTTGGGCCAGGATGGCCCAAGAGCAAGTCTATGTTTGAACTCGTTACTAAGAAATCTATTTCATCCATCGAGCTACTTGCTTTGGTTTTATTGCATCGTAAAAATTACATTTGATTATATAATAACTTATATCTTTAATAGAAAGAAGAAAGGGGGATGTGAGACGTCCTATAACCACAAAGCTTACAAATATCTCCTTTCATTTTTCACAAGTGGTCATTTAGTTTTAAATTAAATCACAAAAATATAAGAAGCAAATTTTAAAAGCTCAAAGGCATAGTTGAGGCTTAATGGCCCAAAATGCCTTAAGGTGTTGCAAGCATAAGCCTAAAAATTATTAAAGTTTATAATGATAAAAATAACATATTATATACCGAAGTTAGAATGATAGAGTGTACAATTATCCATGAAATAAAAAATTTATATGCAAAATAAGTTATAGTTTTTGAGTGTTAGCTAAAATAATAACGAATTAACTAACAATTATAAACATCTTACATTTCATGTTTCAAAATGCAAAGTTCTCAAATTATTCAAATGACCAATTTAGAAGAAAGAAAGCATATGAAGAATCATTCATATAATTGATATCATTGGTAGTTAGGAAGTTAGGCTCACGCCTTTTTATGCCTCAAGCTATGTCTCATATCAAATTTGTGAGACTTAAGCCTTGCAAAATCTATGCACCTTGCCTCATGCCTCAAGGCTTAAGCCTTTTAAAAGAACGATAAGAAGTCAAAATAAAAAAAGCCTCTCCCATCTTAATTGTCTCGGATGAAATCCATCCACTACTCAAATAAAAGCTCTCCTTAGGTCATAATTGTGTCTAATAAAATTCATTATTGATCATGTCAATAAGATCTCTCTCTCTCTCTCCAATAGTCAATATTTATAACACCTTCCCTTATCCTATTAAATCCCAAATCTGTATCCATATATTAAAATAAGGCTGTCCAAGCATAGTTTTTTTTCTTTGCCTACTCCAACAGTTACAATGATGACAATGGTCTTGGGTGCTTATAATGAAATTTCATGTAAGTGGCAATTTTGGGCACCAACAAATCGAAGATAAGCTTTATAAGCCTTTATGCTTCGTAACAAACCGAGAGCCTGGAAAAGTTTTACCCAGGTTATTACTTTATTGGCAATTTATTATTGAAGTCTTCGCATAGGAAGTATTACAGAAATAGTTCTAACAAGTATGGGATAAGTAAGAAACTACGAAAGATTGGTTGAGATTGAAATGAAAAGCAATCCTCTGAGTTATAACGTTAGAGTCAAAGAGCACAAACAATCTTGCATACTGACCATAATAAGCAAGATACATATTTATGGTCCTATCCCTCACTCTAATATATTCTCTTTGCATAAATTCCAATAAAAACAACTTTTAATGTTTGGTAAGGTATACAAAATAGATGGTTCACGGTAAATTCAAAGATTAATTTATGGTACAATAGACAAGATGACATAATATTTTTTCTTATAATAATTATTAAAATTAATAATTTCTATTTTATTTTGCCCATTGATTTTACTTCAACGATATTCTTTTGCCCATTGATTTTATCTCCTATTATGATGTTATGACTCATGAGAAATGCCATAAAATTGATTTAACTTTTGACACAAAAATGATTACATCAAGGAATTTAATTTGATATGGGCACATCATGGATTTGTATTTGGGGTAGGGCTACAAATGCATAAATGATAATAGGTAAACCCATATTTAATTTGATTAGTCGATATTTGAAATTGAACAAGATCAAGAAAGAGTATTAAAAAAGTAGATGTTTTCACTCTCAAATAGAACCGTTATTTTTCAAATAAAATAACTAGTGGTGGACTATTGCCTAAACTCAAGTGAGGGACTCAACATATGGATTATAAGAATTGGTGGCCAGAAGAAATACAAATACCAGAAAGCCATAATGATCCTTTGGAAGCTATGGAAACAAAGAAATGATCTAATTTTCAACAATCACAGCCCATGACATGAGATTTGGGCTAAAGGAAAGATAAAGCTGGAAAGACGTGATATCCTAAGAACAGAAGCCTTTTTAACCACAAATGCTATTAGAATGACTTTAAATTTTGAGCATAATGTTATATCTTGTTGAAGGATATTTCTAAATAATTGTTGAAACTTTAAACCTAATAATAACTAATAAGCACCCCATGGAGTATTGAGGTGATTATCCAAGACACGAAGGGAGCTGATTGAAACAAGTGGCAAGATCATTAGAATCAAACATGCACTTTGCGGAGCTAATTATTTAGCATATTTCATCGCAAGTGGTAGAAGTAGAATCACTAGTTGTGACGGTGGCCAAGCATTCATTGAAAGAATCAGAGTTTCGGATCTATCGGGCAGCTCTAGACGTGCATTGGTAAGACTATGAGAGCGTCATAACTTATATAGCCAGATGGCAAAGGAAATTTAAGAAGCCAGGTGGAGCCTGTTAAATGAAGGTTGGATCGAAGCAGATGCGGATGTACGTTTTTCTTTTTGTCTATTTCCAGGTCTTTTATCGGTTGCATTTTGCGTAATCACACAGACTGACAGACACAGGCCATTTTATTGATATCTGTTTTACCGCCCTCCAGATCTCTCGACAGTCTGCTAATGTTTTCGATACTATGTTATAATATTTTGTGTTTTTTAATGTTTATATATATTTAATTTTTTGAAGAAAATTTAGAAAAAATAAAAAAAAAATATATATTTTTGCTGTAATCTGCCCATGAAGAATAATTATGTGATAGATCTATGGGTGATCTACCATATCCATAAATCTATTGAAATTTCTAAAGTATTCATTTTTTATTTTTTGTATTTTGTTTGAATAGAAATGTTTATTTTTCAAATTATATTTATTTTTGTTAATTTTAAAATATATTTTCAATTTTTAATTCATACATCTATTGAAATTTATTGTAAAATATTTATTTTTTCTAATGTTTTGTGTGATCTAACCATAATATTTACCATGTTGTAAATCTATAAATGATCTACCACATCCATAAAATTATTTTTTGTTGCATTTTATTTTTTTTATTTTTGTAATAAAAACTAAAATAATTGTTTGAATAAGAAATAAATAATTGTTTAAAAAATTATAGAAAATATTTCATTAAATAATTATTAAACATATATTTTGTAATTATAACCTTATTAGAGAATACACTTATGTTTCCGTATGTTGATTATGCCATTTTTTTTCATAACAAACACTAAATGATGTGATTTTTATGTACATATACTTCATTTAGGCCCTATATTTAATGTTATTGATGCACATTTATTATTTATTGGAATATCTATAGTGTTTTCATGTGTATTTTAGTTTTTCATCCATATCCATGCGTATCCAAGGTGTATATCGATACATCTCTTAAATTTGTCTTTTCGATACACTTAACATTTCTGATACTTTGAACCTTAAACCTATCTATCTACTCGTCTTGTGGCAAGTTTTGGCACATACAGATTCTAGTGGTATTGTTATTTGGAATCATGGTTTCCAAACCACCGTTGACCCAAATGGTTGGACCACTCAACCCAAGAACTGTATTGGCAATTGGTTCCATTTTACCCCAAACCCGATCCCAGACCAAAAACTATTGAATCAGTCAACAACCCAATGACCAGGGCGCTCGAACCGTCAACCCGTTCAACAGTTTTTGACCATTTTTTATTTTTTTATCAGAACGAGCCATTCATTTGGACCGGGCAATTGAACCGTCAACTAAGAAACTAGTGGACAAAACAGTTCCAATTCCAGTTCATTTTTTAAAACATTGCTTCAAATCCCTCTCTGTGGTTGATTCCTAAGTTAGAGGCTAATATGTTTATGCTTGCGTTTTTTATTAGTGTTTCGAATTAAGGTAGATGAATCTAGTTCAATTATGATGGTTCAAATGTTCAATTGGGTTTCACCAAAGGTTACATTTTTAGTAGGGGTGAGCAAAAAAAAAAAAAAAACCAAAAAACCGAACTGATTGAAACTAAACCGAAAAATCGGTTAATCGAACCTGTCAATTCAATTTTGGTTCGGTGTTTTTAAAAAACCGAAGATACTGGTTCGGTTTTAGTTAACCAATATAAAAAACCGGCAATTAACCGAACCAACCGGTATACATATATTTCTATATATTTTATATATATTTACGTATATTATATTATTTTTTATTATATATACATAGTTTATAATAAATATTGTAAAAATTAAAAAACCAAAAAAACAATGAACCAAACTGATAATTAACCGAATCAGTCAACCAATTAACCAAATGTCTTCAATTCGGTTTTGATTACCAGTTTTTTCAAAAACCGATAATACCGGTTCGATTCAAAAAAACACCCCACGGTTCGGTTACCCCTAGTTTTTAGCTATATTCCAGTTCCATAAGGCAGTTCTAATTGAGAATTGTTTCCAATTGAACCCGATTCAAGGAAGAGGATTTGCTTTCTTTTAAGGATATTGCCTCGAAGTCGAAAGATAACATTCAAGGAAGAGGAAGCACATAAAAAGTTCTACTGAGAACCATTCTAAAGTCAACATTCACCATCACTTTCTTGATGTTTAGATAACGGCCAGTTCTCAGTAAAATTGCTTAAACTTGAAAAGTTTCTTACAAGACCGTTGCAGATTGCCAATTTGCCATCAAGGCAGAGCTTGTTTGCAGTGCAAACACAAATACACTGGTCACTGGTTCGTGAAAATGCAAAATTGATTAATCATTGATAAATTTTGTATTATTGCCACACTGTTTTTAGTTGTGATGTGTACGAACACAATTCCAATATTAGAATCCACCTTTTTACATTAACCAACTTCGAGAGAAAGTTTTATTTTCAATACAAACTTTGATCTAATTTTAAATAGACATGTGTTAGAATTTCTGATACTGTTATTTTCAGTATACAAATGTATTTTTACCAAATGCTTTCGCGATTAAGTTCATGTGTGAATCACGCCAGCACTTGCACAAACACAAATAATGGGGAAAACAAAGACAACCAGCTATTAAAAAGGAAATTCAGTTATTTCATTATGTGTGTGTGAGAGAGAGAGAGAGATCCTATTAGAACAGAATTTTCATGCATTACAGAAAATATAAGCTTCCTCAACGCCATTTCAAAGGGATTCCAAGCTAAGCCCCATCACCAATCCCTACCTTAACCATTAAAGGAGAAGCAAATACAATCCCAACTGGATGTGGGGTAATGAACTTAAGTTTCTGAGAATAATTAAAAATGAATTTCAAGGCCTCGATCACCCAATTTGGTATCAATCAGAAATGGTAGTCACTTCCACCACCCTTTTTAATTGACCGCCCTAGAATGCCATCCCCACAAAAAAAAAAAAAAGCAAAAGCATCATCGTTGTTTTTAACATCAACTCCAAACATCCTCACCCCAATCATCTTAAGCTAATAAATCGGAATATTTTTTGGGGAGAAATGTTACTCCACAAAACTAACTCCAGGGGATGGAATAATAAATCAAAAAAGGGGGATCAAAACACATTCATTCCCATCAGCCCCAAAACTAACCAACCGCATCAATATCTGCGGATATGGCATAAACTCGTGGGGCAGCCAGTAATTGTAGGGTTGGGTGTTCTGGACATGAAAAAATCAATCTAAATCAAGGAATTCCATTCTCTTTCTCATGGAGCCTTTCAGATCTGTAGCGTCCCTTTCTGCCTTCTGTGCCTGTAGAGGTGTGTCAATTATAAACTTGTTCAACCTTACAAAACAACACAAGTAAAATCTAAAACATTTTAGATTTACATCTTTGGGTGTCCTTTTTTTGGTACACAATCTTTGGATATCCTTTCCAACATTAGCAATAGGTCATTTGTGTTGTTTGCATACCAATTTAAAAAAATAAAACCATTTCAACCCACATTTAGATGCCTAGTCTATTATCAAAGCTAGAGACATACTTGCAGGCATGTGTGTGTGTGTACTGGTATCTAGTAAAGCACTAACAGCTATTCAAATGGATAGCTTTTCAAGTATAGCAATTTTACCAAAAAAAGGGAAACGTCTGACTGTGCAACTTACCCTCCTAATGTCTGCAGCTGAAACACGAGTCATATGTGGAGGAAGCTCCTCCCTTTCAAGATCCTATCCAATCAGAAAATCAAAAGATAACAACAATAAGAAAGTATATTGGAGGTGCTTCTAGAAAATAATTAAATATTATTAAGTAATGGTGAGACTTTTAATACCAGTTCGCCAATTAAGACAACATTCTCCCCACGAATTACATAGAGGCCCAAGGGAATGTCACAATAAAGATCACCAACAATCACTCGCTCACATGCACCTTCAAGAACGGCATTTGCTGTACATGAAGAGTTTAGAACAGATAAATTGTAAATGAAAGTAAACAAAAAGGGAATACACAAAATGCCAGTAAATAATGAGAGAAAAAAAGTACCAAATTGATCAAATGACCGAAGTATCCCCAAGAGTTTTCGACCATCACGCAGCAAAACGAGAAGTTTCTCTGTGAAAGTAACAAGTGTGAGCTAACAAAATTAGACATGAAAACTATGCCATATCTTTCAATAATTCATAACACTGTATCTTGTGCTGTTTTGGGGTGCAGCACAGATTAAGAAAATTAATAATTTAGAAATTTTAGGTCAGCATGCATCATTTATATTGGGAGATGGCTAAAATTGCATGATCTTTGGATTTAAATTCATACACCACATCTTTTCAGTTCTCTATTAAAACTTTTTTTTTGGGTAAACACCTTGAATTAAATATATTACTTATGTAGATTGCATGCCACATAATAAAGGTTAAAAAGAAGGAATAATAATGAAAATTCAATAGATAATACAAAAATCAAGCATCTTGCGGCCACGGTACTTCTCCCTGCACCATTTCTTTTTCTATTGATTAGTTTCCAAACTCTAGTTTCTTTCACTTTTCCCATGTTCAACCTTTTATGTTAATCAGTACTTCAGTAGTAGAAGAAGTGCGATTACCAAACAAGATTCTTCCTCTGAACACCCTTCTCTAGCAAGGATATCGGCAATAGAATTTAAAACCCACGAGAAAGAGTAATTCAATCTAGAAATCCCTCGATGAAAATCCTGAACATCCTATCAATTCAGACCAAGGTACAACATCCATGGCCCTATCTAATTGAGACCTCAACAAACTCAAAATTACTTCCAACATGCACCCCTAAAGGCAGTCAACATTGTAATCTAGTACTATGGTAATTCTATATGAAACTTGTTCTGCATTCACATACTTGTAACAATATGGTAGTATCACAATCAATGTCCTGATACCTTTAGTCACATCATAGACCATGAAAAATGTTGAAGTGAATCAAATCAAGAACCATATCATAAATCATAATATTATTTCTGCATTTTATAAACTTGACATATATAGAAAAGTAATTTTACCCTATTTCAATCTATTTTACCATATATACACTCAACAATAGAGTTAACCACTTGCACACCAGAATGACTCATTAACCTATATATGATGGAAAATAAACCCAATATGGTACCAGATAGGTCTTCATTACCCAAACAAATCATCTTCTAGTAAGGGTTCAAATAAGAGCCCCTTAAAAATTAAAAAAAAAAACAAAAAACAAAGAAATTGCATTCTTAATTAACATATATATGAGACCTCATCATTATAGTTTATAAGTTACTTTAATTCATATCTTTATTTTTTTTTTCTATTTGCATTAACTAGCCAACGTCTACACACCCACCAGGAAATGCATCAAATGGGAACTAAATATCTATCTAAAAAATGCATCAAATGGGAAGACCAAAATTACTAGTCATCAGCTCACTGCGTTGACAACACTGAAAAACGTGATAATTCTTTCTTACCCAAAACTGTAGTAACAAGACAATATATATCCTGCACCCATAGAGGGAGGTATAACCCATATCCAGTGTGTCACATCCCAGGAGATTCCCTGACCAATAGGAATAGTGGGGTCAATGCAAACCGTGAGACTGTGAGAGAGGTTTTCCTCATCCAGAGTTCTAATAGATAAAGGAATAACTACTCCAAACTCCACACGACTAAACTAACAAATAATTTTGACAAAATCCGGATAAAGCAAGGGTTTGCCAACTACTGTAGGTAGTATCAACTATTAACGCATTAAGTAAAATGTAGGCATACAAGAGGAAGGCCTCTTCTCAGTTCTAGTAAAATAAAGCAACGAAGCTGTTATTCAAACTACACAAGATTAAACCTTTAAGGCAACCCAGCCCATAATCTATCAAAAAATTACTGAAAAGCCTAATACGGATATCATTCATAATACCTACCAAATAGAGAAAAGAAAGCACAACAGATATAGATAAAATGAGAGAGAGAGAATGAGAGGTTACTGTCAAGATAGCTCGCAAGAGATGTGGAAAGGAAGATATCTTCCAGGCTTGCCCAAGACATCGAGCTCTAACTTTTTCGGTATCTCAAAAATCACCGAAAAAATGCCCAAAACCGCAGCAAATGGCATTGGCAGCTGAATTCTCGGCTGCCTCAACACTCCTCCCGAGTCCCAACTAAACTCTTCAGAACCTAATAGCAGGAAAAGAAAACAACTCAACGAAATTAACTCAACTCCTTAAAAACCCTAGCTTCAGAAAGCATTTTAACAGTAGATCTCCAACAATCACCAAAACCCTAATTTAACCAAACCCCATTAATTCATAGTCCTTGAGATCTAAAAGCATGGCTTCCTCAAACACAAATATCAAACACTAAATCAGATAAGATTTCCGGATTGAAATACTTAATGACTCGAAGACGCTCAAATCCAATCACCCCGGAAGAATTCCAAAAATATAAAAAAAAGGAGCAGAGAAATGAAGGAACTTGGACGGAAAATGTTGGAATTTTAGGGTTAGCGTTTGAACCTTCCGATCAGCGCCTACAAGTTTATTTTCAGAAAGACATCCCCTTTTTCTCTTCCATCGACTTCAGAGTTCAGACAGAGAGAGAGAGAGAGAGGGAGAGAGAGAGAGAATAATCCCTTTGACCAAAAGAACAGTATTTATCAGATACAGCAAATCAAGTTTTTTGCTTTTAAGACATTTGTTAGTATAATATCTCCACCATGCAAAACACCGACGCTATAGTCTATACTCTATACTCTATACCACTCAAATTATTTGCCACAAATGGGCCTCACTAGTTTGGTTGTAGCGTTTAGGTTATAGCAGAGGTGGCAATTGGGTGGAGTCTGTTAATTGGGCAACAACCCGTCAATTAAACCCACCAATCCCATTTAATGCCACTTGATTTACCATTTTTCCTACTGGGCTACTAGTGAAAAGACGTTTTTTCCTCAAATGTCCTTTAGAGGCTTGGATAATGTTTGGTATGAGAATGGTTTCTGTATCGAGTCGTTTTCAGTTTTTACCATGTCAGCCATTTTGTTCTGTCTTTTTTCCGGTGTGATTGATTAGTGTTTTCTAGCCCTTTCAACCAACATCGAATGTCTAGAACTCTCGTACATTTTGACATTTCTTCCAATGTAAATAATATTAATTTTCACCTTTTAGTTTATGTGAATATAAAATATGCTTAAAAGCTAAAGTTATTTTACCAAATTCTAAACTGCTGCATATGTAAAAAAAACGATAATAATACAAAATATTATTATAATTAACAAAAATCTTACCGAATTCATATATGCTCGAACTATAATCACATGTGATCTCAATAAATATGAACACATCATGGAGATTGTTTATTCAAAGCATTTGTGTGTTTAGGGATGGTAATTTTTTTCATTTTCTCGATTTTTGTGAAGATTCGCTTCGAAAGGGGTGGGGATGGGGAAATTTTCATTCCCATTAGCGGAGATAGGGAGAGCATTCCCCACCCTATGGGATTCCCACTAATATATATGTATATGTATGCATACGATATATATGTATATATGTACACATATATCTATATATTAATATTTTAAAAATATGGTTAAATATGCTTGATTTTTTTTATAGGAATATAAATTTTAATTATTATTTTTAAATAAAATAAAAAACAAAAATAAAATGATTAACATTATAAAAAAATTACGGGAAATGGAGATCCCCGTGAGGACGGAGATGGGGATAACCTTGTCCCTGTTAATAGGAACGAGGACAGGAATGAGGATTTTCACAGGGACGGGCCTGCCTTGTTACCATTCCTACGTGTATTCCATTTCATTCAAATTTAGTGGGGTCATAATTAATTTCACATCATATGATAAAGTTATTAGTCATATAGTTGGGATAAGGGTTAGATGACGATGATGATATAAATCTTTTGCAAACATCAGAATTTGCGCTGTTATCTTTAATTTATGAAATAACATTGGATTAATTGACTGCTTGGCCAGAAGCTAAAAAGAAAATTAAACATATCCTACAAGCATACGACACAGTGAATTTTTAACCCCAAAATGTATTTTTTTTAACTAATTGTTTTTGCTTCAACTTCAAAGAATCAATTCTCAAAATGAGAATTTGAAGCAGTAACTTAACAGTTAAATTTTTGAATCAAAGAAACTATCGAAATTAATAGACTGAAATCAGGCCAAACGCAGCTTTTCATTTGAATTAACTATCCCGTCCACATAAAAGTGGAAATCCTGAACGAGTGGAGGAGCCCATGGGCCATCGTCCCTCACTATCAGCCCAAATCGATGCCAGAAGTCCAAATCTGGTGATTCTTGAAAAGCTTTAAATGGAGTTTTTAATTTTTGAAAAGCCCAAATCACATGAAAAAGGTGCACAAAAAAACACACATTAACTAAATGAGGTTCAAGCTGTTTAAATCTTAATGCAAAAGCTCGATACATTTTTTGACTGTCAAATTTACTAAGATCTTCCTTAAAAAACTTGCCAAACTGCCCTGATTCATCTTCTTGGCCTGAAGCAGAACCAGATATGTAGGGTAGCCCTTAATTACTTTCTCCCTCAATTTCACGTGGAAGTTTACAACAAGACAACCTAATTCCCCACTTCTGAATCTGATGTTTACTGCTGACCCTTTTCATTGACGGTGCTGAAGAGACCATCTATAATATATAAGCTGATGAATCAAGACTAGAGCAAGTGGACTGCAGTACAGCTCTTTTGCTTATTCTCACCAATCACCATTGACATGACCTTGACCTTGGCTTTTGAGTGGTAGCTTTCAAGAAAAGAGCAATAAAAGAAGCATGTAATGAGAACTCCACAAGCTTTCAGCTTTCCAACTGTTCGATGAAAGATGATAAGGTATCTTTCAAAAGTTGGCAACTACTCATTCCAGATATGAATGAAGCAGAGAGTCTTACCTTTTTCATCAGTAGATGATAATGAAAGCATATATGTATGCATGCATTTTGGAATATTTTTATTGTTTTTTTTTTTTTATATATAACTTGTGCCAAAGTATGCATGCCATACATAATTAAGGAGGATATTGGCTTCAAGATTCAAAATATATATCATAATTCAAACATAGATATGCTAAGATGAATTATTTTAATATTTAAACCTATTAAAAGGATCTAAATTTTAGTATTTGGTGGCTCGGTGGAATTCACATCTGCGCCCCACAAGTGACCCACAGTACATCCTAACCGTATATTGGGAGTATCTCCCCAGTTCGAATGAATTGGAGACAAAATCATACACACCTGACTGAACTATCTATCGAAGTTGAACACACCAATCAGTTATATTGAACATTGACGTGTTCAACCGTGATAGATAGTTCAGCCGGGTGTGTATGTTTTTATCTCCAACTAATCCGTTCCCTCCCATATTTTCCCTTGGGTGTGTTGTGGGGTGCCCTCTGTGGGGTACAGATGTGAATTGGGCTCTGACCCTGAGCATATCGTATTTGTTTGGCTTTGTTTATATGAAAAATGGAGAGGGAAAAAAATTAAGGAAGATATAAGTTCAACAAAATATATGTGCTACTGTAAATTAAAAGATATGTTAAAAATTGTGGAATGAAAATTTTGGAACATTAATTATATATTAATACATGTAATGTATTTCTAATTATTTACAAATAAAATCATGTATTATATTATAAGAATCTATTAACAAAGCAACCACACATTTTAATGAAAAGTTCCCATAATTTCTGTATCTTTGAATTATTTAGTACTTAATATTTCTTAACCCATTTTTTTGTAAGAAATTTCATTAAAAAACGGAACAGAGAGAACACAAAGAACCACCACAAAAAAGAGACTATAGACCAGCTAGAGCTAGTGGTTCAGAACTTCAGATACGTACATATCTGATCTTATTTCTACGCCTAGCTTCATTAAGATCATAATGAGCCAAATATTTTACTAACTTCATTTGCAACTCTCAACAGTAATTGATCACCCAAAAGCAAGCTGTGAGCTAGTCACGGGTGAAGCATAGCCAAATGGAGTTCATTTTGGCTCTTTATAGAAAAGGAGAAAATTCTTCTCTATCATGAAAATTCTAAATTATCTAAAACATGGGAGGCAGAGGCCTGTTATCCACCATGAAAAGATTTCCTCCTTTTTCTTAAGGAGCAGGCTCTTATTATCCTTTCCCTATCTGCTAGCCATGCATGTCATTCAACAATCTTTTTTTTTTTCCATCTAAATTTTGCAAAACCAAACTTATAGAATTTTATAGGTGCCATACGCAAACAATTAATGTTGCCACGTGGCCACTGCTTTAGCCCCATGAGTCATGAGACCATTCATGGATGATTCATTCCCATCAGTGTCTTCTGTTATTTTTAATTCCGCTTACACCTACGCACCTCTTCTACTCGATTACTCCTTAAATAGTCACTGTTGATCAATCATCCTTCCTTATTTGTATTGTTTTATACCCCCCCTCCCCCTCCCTCTCTCTCCCTTTTCTGTTTTTAAAATTAAAACGATCCCAACCCAAAGGCTTACGTTCATCAGTTTAATCTTTACCCACAATTCCACAAATTGAAAGTTAAAAGCAGAAGTAGAAAAAGACTACCTTCTGTTAATATCAAATCCATTAATTGCAGCCCATGAGATTATATCTGAATTAATTATTACACATTACACGTCCAACCGTCAAAAAAAGGAACGGAAAACATGTCTAAAAGATCCAAAAAAAAAGTCTTAATATATATAATATCAACACGACTGCACAAATCCTTTGATCCCAACGATCACACCTCACATTGCTTTTATCATGTCTCTTAATATATAATCACCTTCATTGGCTTTATTCATGGCTGACCCTGATGGCTTGGTTCCAGCTATTTGAATTCTTCGATCCAAGGATAGCCCCTCCTCAGTCAATAAGATAATGATGAAATCGATCTGCAACATTATTTAACAATAAGGAATCAATGCTTCTTATTCCGAGCAAATGGGTGATGAACAATAATATAAGTCTGGTTCCAAAAAGAAAAGAGAAGCATTTATTGGACATTAGACTCACTAGTCTTCTTACCATAATATCTTTCCATTGCTAGCTGAAATGGAGGAAATCTTATATCTCTAGAACAATGTCTGCATTCAAAAGATAAATACCATAAGTCTTCTTCATATACCCATTTCCGATTCCTGCATGGGAAATCAAACCATTGTGTGATCATTTGTAAAAACTTACATTCTGAATCTGTCTTGTCCCATTTACATCCATCATCTGATGTTTCCTCTAGTTCATCATCTTTGTTGATTGCCTTCAGCATTTGTCTGTTGTCTAGGTACTTCTTTAATGATGATGAAGTGGAACTTTGGGGATATATCTTTTTGTGAAGAATGGCTCTCAAAAGCTACAACAGCAATATTATTTGTTAAAAGCATGAAATAAAATAAAAAAATAGCATCCATACCATACAAAAAATACATACATAGGCATGATATATGCATACATACACATATAAATTTGTTTACATGTAGCATATGTGTAAATATCTGTTTATGCACCTCCACCTATAAATGGTGTAATTGAGGAGATCTGAAGTTGCTGACTAGTGCCTCTAACCAAGTTTATACTCCTAAAGGATCAGTTTCTAGCATAAGATGGGTCCTTTATGAGAGGGGGAAAAAATTGGCTGTAATTCTACATTTGATGAAAAGGTTTTCTGCAACTGTGGACGATCACATACAACTCCGATGAAATATGAACATGCTAATGTTAATTTTAAACCAAACACCAGTTGATGTGTTATTTTGTTTCTTCTTCCAAACACTGACATATTCACATTTTATTGAATTGAGGGGTCTCCAGATTATCCTACGGCCATGATTACAGATCCAGTTCCAGCCTGTGATGTGTAGAGCTGCTGAGTGGCTGTATGAACTAACACATACATACTTCATCATAAATACATATACATATGTATGTGGAACCCAGATTTCCTACTCACTTTCTCTATCCACACCCTACCTACGCTACACTGCAACCCCACATCTCACAATACAGGATGGCGATGTGTGGCTGCAATTCACGGCGGGTAGAGAGTGGTGGGCAGGAAATCCCGTTTGATGTATATGTGAATGAATGTGTGTGTGTATATAATTATATATACCTTCTCCATCCTTGACTCCGGAAGCTGATCCCATAAACTTGGAGCTGGAGCTGGTGGAAAACCACTTCTGCAGACGAAGATCTTCTTAAGAAGAAAAGTAATCGATCTTTTTCCGATTGCTTTCTTGCCGTCCACACAAACGTCTTTGCCCTTGCTCAAGACGATACTGGTATTACCTAGCAGATTATTATCATTCTTGTCCTCCGAATCTTCACAGAACTTATGGCAATTCGTTCGATCCACGTCTAAACTGGATGGACAGTTTAGAAACTTATCAAGTGGGAGATGAATGGTTTCTCCTAGATTTGTTGATTCAGTCCCAATGGAGTCTGGTTTATGCGATAATAGCTTGGTTAGCTCTTTCTCTAATTTCCCAACTTCTTCAGCTGTAAAATCTAGTAGATCTTGTGATGAAGATGGATTTTCCAGAGGATCACACCTCTCTGACTCCCCTTTTAAGTCATTATTTCCAAATGTCCCAATTGCCAACAGCCCATGAGGCCAGTCACTGAATTCTTCTTTAAGAGGTTCTCGCAAATTAAGATCTGCATAGCGGAACAAGACTAAAGAAATGAGGATCATCATTCTATCGAAAGCAAAAAGCTCATGGATGGTTTCTGATCAAATATGAAAAATGTAATAAAAATTGATCAAACAAATGGTGACAGAGAAATAATTTTATCCACAGTTTTGAAACTTATGTACATACAAGCCTAGCTGGTGAGGCTACAATTTGGCTAAATTGTTAAACCATATCAAAACCCAATATATCTTTGCTTCAATTAAAGCACATTATGGATTTGAAAATTTTTGAGCTTAAATGAAGGGAGAGATGCCCATTTAAATTATATCAGATCAGAGAGTATATTTCCTTCTTATTCAAATAATAATAATAAATTCGTAAATATCAGTAGTGGAGTAATTAGTATAAACCTACCTAAATTCTAAGTTTTTTTTTTTCATTTTTTTGGCTGTATAAAATTATATGTTCGTTGGTTCACAGTTTCAAACACTTTTTCCTCTAAATCTTCTTTTGAGTTTTGAGGACCCAAATATCACATATGCATGGTGGGCCATCGTGTTCCCACAAGTTTCAAAATGGATCAAAGCCCAAACTCTGCGCTCATAAGAGAATTATGGGCACCAGATCCTGTTATAAATGGGCCCAAAAATAAATGGTTAGAATGGCCCAATCTTTTCGAGTGAGACATTTGTGCAGCACACGCCGTATGATACGTGAAAAAGAAGTGTGGGAAAAGGCTTCTTCAAGCCTATGGTACACTTTCTCTCCTTTCATGGAAAATAAACAATAATTAAACTTTGGCCTTTCAAAAAAATTAAAAAGAATCCATTGAGATTTGATCTAACTGTGCTCATCTGAACGGTCAAGATTGAGAAAAATGTCAACTCTAAAACAACTATGGAGTATTATATCACAAGTTTTTTCTGTTAATTTTGTTTAACTCTATTTGAAAAAGGGTTTCTCCTAGTCGGGTCAACTATGGAGCATCCCACCTACCAGATTCATATGTTCCTAACACATGGAGGATTCATATGGTGGATTTGGGCTACGAGGTCCACTGGATCTTTCATGAAGGTTCAGTTACACAGCCTACATCAGCCCATGCCCAATCTAGTATTAGATATGACCCAATCAATTATAGCGGGCCAAACTTATAATTTTTTTTTAAATATAAAAAATAAGGAAAAAAAAATGAGCCCACATTTTTTTTTTGTGGATAAAGTAAAATCTCATTAAAGCAACAAGCCAGTTCCCACTTTATTTTTGGGCTAGTTAATAAATTAAATTTAAATAAATATATGATGCATGGCTATGGCTAGAGATGGATGATATCATATGGTAGCATACCCCACAAGTACAGACATCAACAACCCGTGTAGTCAAGTGTTTGGAGTCATTCTTTTGGCCATTCTCAGATTATGGAGGGCTTCACAGAAGGAATACCCCCCCACAAAGCTCTTGAGCTCTTCCCTTCATATGCTTTTGGGCTTGGGCGGAGGAGGTGACCCCCCCAGATGAAGAATTGTTCTGGGTCCTCATCTACTTGTCACTGTGGTGGCCACATTCAATTAACCTGTCTGATACAACAGCAAGCTATTGTATCCATCCTTGTTGTCACTTAACATGTTATGTTCAGAATCACTATGGCCTCTCTCTCTCTCTCTCCGGATAATCACGGATATTAGGGTCCTCCATAGCAATAAGCAAGAAACAACTGAAAACTCAAAGAGCAAAAGGACATATAAAATAATAATACAACAAATGAAACAATTGAATAGACATAAATAGAAAATACGAAAAAAGTAGATAGATGCATTTCATCTGTTTCGGGGGTTTTCTTTTTCTTTTTTTTTTTTTTTTGTGGGAGGGGGAGTAAGATGTTATCTGTTTTGTTTAGAACTTGGAAGAAAGTTTTTCATCATATTCTCACTGATCTTAATGTGCTATTGTTTTTCTTTCCCTTTCCCTTTCATCTTCTGAGTTCGGAGTTCTGAATTCTTCCCGCTTTGGCCTTGGTATCAAGGAGTCAGGTTGAAGAATATACAGCCTGTTGATCTGAAGAAAGTACCAAAGGAAAAGGGAATACAGCATCTTGAATAACAAGATACCCAGTTCTCTAGACAATGTAAAACAGTTGAGACCACACGATTCTCCAACTCTCAGTTCGGAATAATCAGCATTTCAATTGTTTCAGTAGAGAATTTGAGAACACAAAACTACTGTCATGGAGTCAACAACTGAAATGACGTGACAATCTCCCCTTTTTTTATTCTCTTTTCATTTTTTTTTTCAAGTAACAACATCAGTTCGTATTCGTACTAAAGAAACAATGCATCATCAATTCAGAGCCTTACAAAAGCTGAATATATGAATAAGAACTATATTTCAAGCAAAACAAAAAGGAAAAGGATAGAGAAAAAATATTGTACATATATGAATGCCATCACATCAGAATACTAGTCTCAACGCTATAACATAACAACGAGACTGAAAAGAAGTAAGCAATCTTTAGTATTAATCTTATATCAAAAAATATAGAAAAGAAAAAGAATATATCAAACAACACTTACGATTAGGTAAGACCCCACTTGGTTTCTTGTTACCCGGTCTCCCATGAATCTTACTTTGCATCCAACTGAAGATCTGCAAAAAATAAATAAGTAACAAAATCCAAGAGCTTTCGCTTAGTATAATAACTGAAGATATGTACAAGCTTTTTAGCCTTCTCATTGAGGCAAAAAAGAAAAAAGAAAGAACAGAGCAAGCACTGAGCCTTCTCGAAGAACATAAACAATAACGAAAAATCTCTCTCCAAGCCTTTTGTTGGTTTACCTTCATTCTCTTTTGTTGTATAGAGAGACGAACTTGAGAAATCTTTTAAAAGTGCATATGGAGACGGTGGCGATGGGAGGGACCAATTGTGGCGGAAGTGGTGGTCCTAGAAGTAGAAGACGACTCAGCTGGTCTCAGGTGTGCAGTGCAAACATAAATCCTCTAAAGTCTAATCCAATGAGAACTTGGGGAGTTTTTAACTTTTAAATATAGAGAGAGAGAAAGATGGGCGATTAGAAGGAATTCCACGGCCAGTCGGCCAGCGAGTACTTGAGATTGGTTCAACTTCCCATTACGGCCTTTTTTGCTCCTCTCTATCTCTTTCAGCTTTTTCTGTGGTTTTTCCAACTACTATGCTCGTGGCCCCACTCGCTCCTCGCTCACTTAACTCGTTCTTCTTATCTTAAAATTAATTATTTCCAGATGCTTTATTATTTTTTTCCCGCATAGGCTTTGGCTGTTATTATCTCGAGCATCTTTGGCTGTCATCCACCGTAGGGCTTCCAACGGGTCGGGTCTGGTTCGGGGAAGGGTGTGAATCAATGGGAACAAATTATAGATTTAAAACCGACCCAATTATTAATCGGAAAACTGAGTCTGATCCTATTAACTGACATTTACCCTTTCGGTAAGTCACTTATTTGGATAAATGTAATTAACCGACCAAGTATATTTTAAGAAATTAATATTTATTTAAATAAGTACACTTTTTATTGTTTTTTCAAGGTTTTCAAAAATGGACTGGACCAAATGATCAGATCGAAAAAACTGAGAACTGGTTAGGTGATCGGTTTCGTTTTACCCCAAAGCTTTTATTTCTCTAAAAACCATTGATTTAGTTAGCAAACCGCTGACCCGGGTGGTTGAACCATTTAATAGTTTGGCCGGTTTTTATTTTTTGTTAGAATGGGCTATTCATTTGGTTCGAACAATCAAACCATTTGACCCAGAAACTGGACTCCTGACCGGTTCATTGTCCGTTTTGATTTTAAAAACCTTATTTTTTTTAATTTGTTCAGTAAGTAAAATTATATAATGATTATTTTATTCAAAAATTAATATTATTAATGGGATAAGATTGTCCCACCATGTATTAACAAATTTTGGCATCAAAGTATAAGTGATTTACCCGGGTATTACTTGCCCAAATAAACAACTGCATGGGAATTATTTTTTTTCCATGAGATCCATTAATACCAATAATATATGAAAACGAATTTATTTATTTTTCATGAGACCCACCAATTTATGTGCCCTCAGGCCCCCCACTTCCCAGAAAATGGGTGAGGATTTATAATTATTTATGTTAATTATAATTCAAAATTTTATTTAATAATATAATTTAAACAAAAATAACAATAAAACAATAAATTGTTTATATGTTAATGAATCAATCAATTGTCTTTAGTCAAAATTATATTATATTATTTATCAAACTTATCCTTTTAGACATAAAATATAATAAAAATTACAAATAAAGATTAACAATTCATTGAGAGCAAGCAAGAACAAGAAGATGAACAAAAACTGATATAACTATTAATCGGGTTGTCAATTAATTGGCTCGGTATAACTAGAACCAACTCATTGACAGCCTTTATATATCCACCGTACCTAATTCCATTGCCTGTGTTTTCAGTTCTCGAAGCATTACTCCAGGTGGTTTAGGGAGTTATTGCGGAGAGCTTAAATGAGTTATTTCGGTAAGTTATTTATCCAGGTAAATGCAATTATCTGGATAAGTTTTTCTTAAAAAATACTTGTTCGGGTAAATGCATTTACCCCTATTCTTTTATTTTCTAGGTAAATAATGTAATGATCATTTTAGTCATAAAAATCTATTATTAAAAGGGGTGTTTTTGTCCTATTCAAATGTTAACAACTTTCTCCTTAGGTGAAAAAATTATTTACCCACTTAAAAAATGAATATCAATTATTAGGATTATTTTATTAATCCCTACATAAATCTGAAAAATAAACATAAATTTCTTGATCAATGAGAACTAAAAACCCATTGACCAACTTTCCTTATATACAAATGCAATCAAGTAGGGCATTTGGACGTACTGCATGCAAGAAGTTTCCTTGTAACTAAAATGCAAGAAGTTATGAGAAAAGGGTTTAAAGAAAAACAAAAGAGGTCCACGTTCGCGTGGGATGTCCGATGTCCCTTACCTACCGGACCACCCGCTGAAATTTACAGCCGACTTCGGGCGGGCAGCGGTCAGCTTCTTACAATATCCTCTGCAGTTGCACACATCATTAGTTTATTCACTCCCCATCCTCCCATAGTTTAATATAGCCTAAGTTTAGACTTTAGACTTCAGAGGGCCTCTGGATAAGGCAAGGGAACAAAATAAATTGATCGATCGATAAAGTGAATACTGTTGTAGCTAGCAAAGAGTGGCTAGATTCTTCATTATGCCTCAAAACCGACCTGCCAGCCAAGTCTATGCCTCAAACTTAGGGGCTTGACGTCAGTATTTTTGTATTATATTTTTACCTTTATTGGGGCACTACAACAGTTCAGACTTCAGATGCTCCACATACACGTCCTACCTTCTGAGGTCGGAGGATATATAGGGGCCACTGTTTGAGTGGCATCATTATCAATATGATTGGAATAATCGTGGCCATGAATCATCGGATCATGTTGAGAGTACACAATTTATTCTAGGCAAATGCAAGATTGGCTTTCATCCAAGACATGTCCATGCTCATACTGTCCAACAGTGGACTGAATTCCCATTTATATTTTTGTGGGGAATTCTATCTCACTTGTGATATTGGATCCCACAAACTTAGGATTCGTTTGATTTAGTTTGAATCAGAATCGAAATTCTTTAGCATCAGAATTAGAGTGGTGTATTTTCATAGTTTATTTAATTCAAACAGGAATCAGAATGGAAATCGGAATCGATTGGAATAAAATTCTATCCATTCTCAAAAGATGGGGAGGGGATGACTATTTTCTTAAGACCCCGTTCACATTTTAGTAAGTTATTTATCTGGATAAATACACTTACCCAGGTAATTGTTTTTCAGGAAAGATTTATTCATGAGATTTTTGGTCAATAGAAATCAAAATTTCATTGACCAACTTTTTTCCTTCTTAAAATCCAGAAAAAAAAAAACGCCCCCTAAATAGAAAAATTTAATTCCATCAAGAATAGAAATACGATTTCAATTTTACCTAACCAAACATTTGAAATCGGAATGACCTGTTTCCTATGAACCAAACAGGCACTAAAACTATTATTATTATTATTATTGTTATAATATCGATATTCTTTGTTCCATTTGTTTTAATGATAATAATTTTCATCGAAGCTCGACCGTGAAAACAAAATGTGTCAAAAATATTGATTTATGCGCACTAGATATTATTGGATTAGACGTTCCCACTTCCCACTAGTGAGGCATGCAGTGCACGGTTAGGTGCGTGTTATCATGATTCTTGATCCTTCAAACGCAAGTCGGTCATTTCTTTAAGTTTGAACAACTGAGAGAGAAAAAAAAAGACAATTTTCTTTATGGAAGGGTATGGAGTTCCATCTTCCAGTAAAAAGATCCACATCACCAATAAGAATATTCCAAGTAGCAGCTTACGTGGCAATCAGAAATTAAGGGCCATGTGCCAAAAGACAAGCTCTCTTTTCCTGGACCCAGTTGCTCTAAATTGGAAGTTTGGATGAATTTCCAACTGCAGATAGCAATCTGAAGAGGTGAATTATAACTACTTAAATAGATAAGAGTAGTAGTTGGATTACTCGGGTACAGAATAAATGGCAGGCTCTATTTCCCTCTTCTTCTTGTTTTTGAGTTTTTCGATATTTTTATCATTATTCATATTTTTAAAAAGATAAAAATAAATGCCCCTACAACTACAACTACAATAGTAACACACTGTTTATAAGTAAGTTAAGCTACTTTATAGCTTGTCTTGGCATATCATTTATATCTTATTCATTGCAACAAATCAAGGAAAAGAGAGAGAGAGAGAGAGAGAGAGGATCTCTTTTTGTCCACCAATCCTGATTTGTTCATGGGCCACCAACCTTTTAGGGGCATACAATTACAATTATAGGTTGCAGTTTGGATATCTGTAATATATATTATAACATGGAGAGGGTGGGTGTGATAGACTCATATTGCTCTTCCCCTATCCCAATGATTTTGTTTTCCTACTTTTATTTTCATCTTTCAAATGCTAAGTTATTTTTTGCTTTTAATTTCCACTTCCTAAAGTTTTTTCTCTACTCAAAATATTCCCTCATTCCTCCTACTCTTTCTCTCACCAAAATTGTTGGAGTTGTTCTTTCTTAGGGGGTGTTCTATTCATTGTTTTTATTACCATACAATACTCACAATTGAAAGGTCTGTAAGATGTGTCTCTAGGGGAAATCCTCTCATGCTTAAGTAAGTGAATGAGAAGCCGTGGGATCGAGCAGAGGAGGCCAAGTTGGCGAGGGAGTTAAATCCATAACATGTCTAGTAATCTAGTATTTATAAGGAAAAAAATCTATGATTTGGAAAAGATATGGCATAGAAAGAGTTTTGATCAATCGAAATCAGCTCATGAATTTTGATAAATAACATCTGATTGGCTATCAGATTTATGAATCCAGATGACTGGTCAGAAGTTTTTCAAATATGATATCTTTCCCATATATCATAGTTGAACGCATAAGGGAAGTTGTCGCTCACCAAAGAGTTTTAATCCGCTTAAAAGACAGCTTTCCAACCTAGCCCGAGGTCTCTATTGGTCATCCTTATTTGGTCTTTGGTTTGCTAGAGACACCTAATTGAGGCTGCTGGCTGGTCAATCAACTCGAGAAGTCGAGTCCAGTTCACTTGATTGATTGGTTTTTCGCACAACTCGTCCTGTGACCACGTGTCAACTCAAACTTGGGCCGGACTATTGGACCTCATCATCAGGTGTGCTTGTGTTTCATTTGGTCCACAAACGCAACCAACATTTTAGAAGGTATTTTCATTTTGTTGTTGGTTTTAGAACCAAATTCCTCGTTGCTATATTGTATTATCCGTATTTTCACATTTATATTATATTTTTAACATATTATTGTTTACATATGATAGACAAAAAATCTATAATGAAAATTGCATCACATTAAGGCTGTGTTTGGTTTGAAAGAAAAAATAGGGAAAGATAAGGAAACCTTTACAAAACTTGTATAGGTTTTCTTACCAAAAAGGTAATATGGTTTTGAAACACAACACCCTTTTTTTTGGAACTACCAAAAAACCCCTTAAATTTTCTATAA